CGGATGAAAATATACTAAAGGGCGAATACAAGTTGGTGTTTGGTAGTGCAGAAATGGGGCTGAGGAAGACCTGGATAAATAACGTCAAGAAGTCCGCCCTGAGATTTTCTGGAAACTTTTGGATTTTGAAAAACATGTTTACGTGCGGACTACTAATTTGACTTTTGGATTTGACTTTAACAAGATTACTGGATTCTGCTAAGTACGAATCAGGAACTTTTATTGCGGATTTTGTTTCAAGTTTTGTCATCAAAGACCCGCTGGATGGAATCTATTTATGGAACAAAGCAGGACTGTGCGTGGGAACTTTGTGTGAACACCTTAAAGGCTTATGGTGAGGAATTTGTGTTCGTGGATCAAGGACTTTGCAAGTGGTTTTTATTGGCAAGTAATTCAGGAACATTCGCTCAGAACTCTATAGGAAATATTAGGGACTATTTTATCGAGATTTTGTTTGAACTTTATGCGATCAAAAGTTTCAGTGAAGGTTTTTTTTTGTTTTTGTGACTCGCAGTTTTTCCCGTAACTGATTTTAACCTTTGACCGATAGCGACGGCGTGATTTGTGATTTCGTGACTTATTTTTGACTTTTGTACAGTTTTTTGTGACTGATTGTTGTAACGAAACTGGAATTGTATGTAGATTTACACTGTCAGAAATACCACATTACGCATTGTATGTGTTTCCAGTTTATGTAAATAAAAGAATGACATTTTCATATCAGTGTAGTTAGATGTGACAACTAAATAAATTGTTGCTGTTTAACACTGTCCTACATAAAGAATTAAATGATTTTGGCCCGTAAACTTTGGTAGGAGTTCGCGAAGCCATGGAAACAGTTGTAACTCCTCATTTCTACTGCAATGCAGACGCCTCGCGCCAGAAAGGTCACAATTTTCGCGCGATAATGGATCGTGTTTTGATTGGTTCTTTTGACATCACCGCGGGTAGTTAATATTTGTGGGCGTAAGTGGGCGGAACTGCAAGAACAATGGACTGCGAACAGGCGCTTTATTTTTCTCTTTCCCTCGTCTCGCGCTTCGCGCTCGTGTCGTGCTCCGCGCGAAATATCGCGTTTGCCCCGCTTGGCTCATAAAGCGCCTGTCATGCAGGCTAACTGTATGTAAAATCTTTTGTGTAATTGCAACTGATACATCCGGTACATGTCAAGTTTACACGTGGTCTTTTGTAGCAAGCCTGTGTTGACCAGGCTGTGTTCCGTTGGAGACACCATTGAATCATGCCAAAAGATAAAACAAAGCGGAAAGCAAGGAACGAATTACCTTTAGAAAAACGTTTTCAAATCGTAGAAGAATACGAAAATAGCAAAGGATTGACAGGAGTACGCAAACTTGCTGAGAAATTCAGTTGTGGAAAAACACAAGTAACATTCTGAAACAGAAGACTCTTGTAAGAGAGGAGTACGAAAGAGGATTTTCCAGTACGAAGAAGCGTAACCGTACTTCACAATACTCGGACGTGAATGATGCTGTATGGGAATGGTTTAAGAAGAAAACCGAACAACGCACTCCAGTCGATGGTCCTATTATCCAGGAGTTTGCAATGGAAGCAGCAGAGAAACTTGGCTACCCTGAGTTCAAGGCGTCAAGCGGCTGGCTTACGAGATTTAAAGAGCGCAACAACCTTTCGCAACACAAACTCTGTGGTGAATCTGCTGATGTGCCAGAGGCTACAGTGTACTCTTGGAAAGAGCGTCTTGGGTCTATTATCTCTGGATATGGGATGCAAGACATCTGGAACATGGATGAAACTGGCTGCTTTTACCGCGCACTTCCGGATAAGAGCCTTTCGGAGAAAGCAAAGAAATGCAAAGGAGGCAAGAAGTCAAAAGAGCGGTTAACTGTTGCTTTCTTCGTTTCTGCTACTGGGGAAAGGAGAAAACCAGTTGTAATCGGAAAGTATGCGAATCCACGGTGCCTGAAGAATATAAACAAAGATGATCTTCCTTGTCAGTATTTGAATCAACAGAAGGCTTGGATGACATCTGATATCCTTCACAAGCTCCTCAGCCAGTTAAACAGCTCTTTCAAGGCCCAGAATCGATCAATACTTTTATTCATTGACTCTGCTGGATGTCACCCTTATGATCTCAAGGGACGCTATTCCAATATTAAACTTGTGTTTTTTCCTGTAAACTGCACGTCCAAGCTGCAACCTTTAGATCTCGGAATAATCCAGAACTTTAAAGTCCATTACAGAAAGTTGCTACTTCGTCATATTATTGCAATGACCACAGACCACGACAGTGCAACAGACATTGCCAAAACATTGGACGTGCTGCAGGCCATAAGCTGGATGGGGACTGCTTGGTCTAAGGTCAAGAACGATACCATTATCAAATGTTTTGCAGCAGCTGGAATTTCCAGCACTTTTTCAGAAGCAGCTACCGTCAGTACTGTGACAGGAGAGGAGGATCCCTTTGCTGATCTTGATGTCTCGGCCGATGAGGAACTGGAGAATCTTGTCCAACAGGTTGCACCTAGAAGTGGAATCAGTGCTTACCTGGAGTCCGATAACGAACTTCCAACCTGTTATAGTCTTCTTACCGAACAACAGCTGCTGGAGGCCATTGGTACTTCTCACGATGTCATGGAAATAGAGAGTGACGACGAGAATGAAATGGAAAAAGAAGATACCCCAGGTGAAGGCGAACGCTCGAAAGAAACAACCACTTTGAAAAGTTTCAAGGACGTTTTGGACAGTGTCCAAAATATTTCTGCTTTTTTGATACATAGAGGGGTGTTTAAGGTTGCTAATGAATTTAGTCTCCTTGGCGACAAAGTGGGGGAAGTTGCAGTTCAAAGGAGAAGTACACAGAGCCGATTGAAACGATATTTTAAGGCAATGTGATAGCTGATGCAATCAATAGCTGATGTTCAGGTTTTTCCTTGAAAATATATTTTTAAAAAATATAGATTACTGTACTTCAGTACTGTAGGAAACCAAAACGATGCATGTGTGGACATTGCTGCAACATACGATGATTGTTTTTTACGTACTTAGAAGAACTACTGTAAACAAAGGGTACGTAACTCCCGTTCTGTTAAGTTCAGTTCTGTTTGTAAATAAAGTTCTGACGCTCTTTACTTGCGACAACGGGTCTGAAAAAGGTACTGGAGTTAATGAAAATGAACACACATGTGACCCCCTTCTGTAAATATGGTTTAAAATAAAAATTTTCTCGCACCCCGCTATTACGGACTCTCGCTATTACGGACACCAAATCGCGGTCCCGAGGGTGTCCGCTATAACGGGAGTTGATTGTACTGTAATTTTACCCTCGGTAACTCGAACCCTCGATAACTGGAAACTCCCGCTAACTCGAAGTAATTTTTGTTTCCCCTCAGATCATTTCTATATAATTTTACCCTCGATAACTCGAACCATGTTTTGAGCCCTTAAAAAGTCGGGAAAAAAGAGTGTACTGCCTCCGAAACATTGAATTTTGAATTTCCCATTGACGTGTTGTAGGCATATAGTTTACTAGTGGATCGATAGTGGAGGCTGATGTTGTTTGCCACAAATCTAACGTGAAATAGCTTTACTTCTCAAAAAGTAAAATGCATGCTCTATTTAGGCAACGTTTTGTTACTTTACGTTCTGATTTATAATCTAACAGTATCTTTTAATTTTCACTCAACATTTTTACTATTAAATGTGATTAGAATACTCACTGTGCAGTAAAAACTGTTATTTTCCTTACTCCCGGCTATTTTCTTCGAGCTCCCGATAACTCGAACTCCCGATAACTCGAACCTTTTTCGATTTCCCTTGAAGGTTCGAGTTATCGGGAGTCGACTGTATTAGAATAAAGCTCAAAAAAAAAAAAAACATTTTAAAACGGCTCATTGCGAATTCTATGAACAATTTTCAGGCCGTCTTTTCATTTCGGAGAAGCATGATGCTCACCGAGGTTGCTCATACAAAACCTTTGAGTAGACTGCAAAGTTTGTTTGAGTCACGCGGGGGGTCTAGGGTGACAAAACCTATTTTTAGTAATAGTGCAAAGCGCTATTCACTTCGATGACGCATCCGAGGCGAACGGGCAGGAAACCTCACATTTTCGCTTGGGCCACGTGACCCAAAACGCTTTGGCCGCGCGGAATAATGATCTGATGAAGCCTAGGAACTAGAGAAGGTATGGAACGGAATCAGGATTGACTTTTTGAAATAGCTTTTCCTTGTCCCGGTTGGTTTGCAGGTTTTGACCGAGCGGTGGCTCCATTTGTGGTCTTTTCGATCTTTATCTCCACGTCCTTGGAAAAGAAAACCTAACCAAAATGGAGATCTTAATATTTGATCCCACTGCAAACAGGGCTCGAAAGTCTGTCTCGAAACACGAGGTTGTTATTTGGAAGTGAAAAGAAAGCTTGAAATTGACCGGAAGTATTATGTTATCCAAGCGCTGATTGGCCTATTTTCATCAGAGGTATTCGTGGGCGGAGTTTGTTTACGAAGCAAGGGATTTTTTTTAAAAAATCTCTTTTTTCTGGACTGGAACTCGGTTCACTTAAAAGGGACCCTTCAGAAAGAAGCTAAAACTCGGAGGGAATTTGTTCGACGATTAACGTACAATTTTTGAGGGGTCACACGCTTTGGGAAATTTCTTTTTTCTTATTACTTTTTTGTCGAGACACATTTAATGAGTGATCACCCGACTTTTTCGCCCTGTAATCGCAATCCGAAAAATGGGAAAATCCCTACACGTTTTTTTGCCCTTTGATTTCCGAAAGCCGTGGAACAAATAATATAGGTTTAATTAAAGAAAAAAAACCCTTTGAAATTAAGCTTTTGCAAACTGATTTCAAAATCGTGAAATAATCAACATTGCTAGTTTTAAGAATTGTGGGTTTATTAAGATGGCCAGTTACTCATGCGTGACACCCCTGAAGGTATTGCGTTAGCGTGACCAGATCCTTGGCATGACGTCAGGCTTTTTCCTCAGCGACGACCAAAGATCAAAAATCACGCGACTATTTTATTCGTGTCGAGGCGTGAAAGGGTCCGGACTCGCAACATTATTGCCCTGAAAATGTTCGTAAATTGGCCAACACCGCTTGAAGATTTGAATCCTCAACGTCACAGGATGGTATGTATTAGTTGTCTTAAATAATTTTGCAGTGATCAAGGGAAGATAGTCTGTAAAGTTACTGTGAAGTTGAGGATGTGTAGACTGAATCAGCCGCCTCTTCTACGAGGCTCTAAATGGTTTTCGCTTCCTTTGACAGCCTTAAGCTAAAAAGATCAACGAGGAATATTCATACTATGATGGACATAACAAATTTAAAACTTTGTTTGACTATTAAAAAGGTTAACTCTTACGAAATGTCAATAATCATTTTGGTGTTGTCACATATTCTGTTGTTATCCGGCAAGTTGGTCGGTCAACTTCTTAGTCCACATTCTTCATCAAAGCTGATCAAAGCAAACTTCCTTATTGCAAAAGTAACATATTTTTTTAATGCTCAGAGTGATATAAAACCAGTGTATTTCTTCTGTTTTCCAAATACAATTTGCATGCCCTTTTTGCGCAATTGGAATACCGGAAGCGATTCTGCGAAATAATACTATGCAATACAGTGAAAGCTCCAGTGACTGGATATCCTTGGGACAGGAAGAAGTGTCCACTTGGGCGACATGTCCATTTAAGGGAAGTAGTGTGTGTATGTAGCTGGCTTGATTAACTGCCTGCTTGTCACTTTATGAGAGGTGTCCGCTTGTAGAGGTTCAACTGTACTTCTTGTTACTGGAAGACAATTATTGTTACTTCTTCCTTATATTTCTAGGAATATCATTTGGCGTCAAAACAATCTTTCTAAGAACTCAAGGAATATTTATTTTCTTTTAACTTCTTTTATTGACTTTCCGACTAATTTTTACGCTAACCTTTTTTTAACCCCAAACCTTTTTTCTTTGATCAAAAGAAAATTTGATACCGTTAACTCGGTATTGGGTTATGCACGTCACGCATTCTACTCCAAGCAAAGAGTGTGACAGGTGACGAACAGTACGTTATGGAACATTTTATTAAGTTATATCGCGGGGTTTTCCCTACTATTTATGTTGCGTTTTTGAATTGTGACTGATTTTCGTCTACAGACCAATGCCGTCAGTGGATAAACACTTTATTGCCGGACTGTAGCTATAAAACAGCGTGCCTTTGACAGGACCGCAAGTGATCTGATACCGTTTCTATGTCGATATCGGCAAATTAGAGTCTGAGTGTGCATGGAAATCATAATGAAGAAAATTTCTCATTCCTACGGTTATTTGAGACCAAAAATGAAGCTCCTCTCTGTCTGCAGTTACTGGAGATAAAATTGAAAAAAGAAATAGTCAAACTAATTTGAAACTGCTAAAGCTGTGATGCTTGTCACGGCAGTCTTGTCCATTTCCCTAAGTTTTCCAAATACTGGGCAGCACTAAAATATGGAATCCGGAAAAGGAAACAGAAACGGAAACGGAATACGGAATCCGTGAAAGAAGGTTCCAAGCGATCGATTTATAAAAATATATTAGCAATGACCACAAAAATAAATGAACAAATTTAATACCTGGGCAGAGGAGACTGATGTATGACTAGAGGAGTCGATTCCAGTGAAAAGACTCTTCATACCACTTCAGGTAATGAACTACGGAGTTGTGGAGTCCAAAGAGAAGAGAGAATTGTGCATGCATTTGGTTGATTCCGCAAATGATTACATCAAAATAATGCGCCAAGTTTAATAAGCCTCTTCAACGTAAAATACGGACTTAACACAAACTCAATTACACCAATATTCCATCAGCATTCAGCTTGGCGAAAAAGTTTAAGTTATTGCTAGAATCCCGGAACTGTGGCAGTGGCGTATCTAGACCTTCAGATAGGTGGGGGGGCATGCAGACCCTGAGATAAGGGGGGAGGTCTCAAAGAAATTGTTTTTCGGCCCTTCGGGCCTCACTTTGGTCTAAAAATAAGGGGGGCGGGTCCTCCGGGCCCCTCTCCTGGAACCACCACTGTGTGGTCATGTTACGGGTCGGTCATGTGCTGAGTATTCAGTTTGGGGAACAATCATGTAGTTTGGTCTGAGGCCAAATACTACTACTCTTGATATTTAGCTAAAAAGGTAATGTTTAACTTTAATATTCAACCCATAAACTTGTGAATAAAAATACTTGTAAAATTACTTTTATCGGCCTTGCAGTGCAATAAATCACACTATGGCAAACCTTATCAAGACAAATTGACAAAGGTATATTTAAGGGAACTGCAAAGAAAACTAAAACAAATTCTCTTTAGATTGTACTAAATTATGCAATGTGAAATTCTTTAATTTTCTACCATTGATATTTGATTCCGTATTCCGTTTCCGTTCCCATAATTCCGTTTCCGGACTCTAGATTCCTTGTTTTACTGCTGCCACAAATACTCGCCCTCACTCGCTATGGATTTTGGCGCGAGCGAGTGAAGAAATTACTTATAAATCACAAGATGATGCCAACTGGTAAACATATCGACATTACTACTGTACTTCGGAGTAATATGAACAGTAACTTGACAACGTTCATATTTGGTTGTCTAAAAAAACTTGCACGAACTATCGTCCAGTCTAAAGAAAATTGTTTAGGGGTTATCGTTTCTGTAAGCAATCAATTTCTAATACAAAAAAAACCTTCGTGACATACCTGGTAGCAATCAAGGCAGGTACAAGGCTTACTCGCCTACCCATGCTACCCTGGGCGAGCTAACGTTCCTACATCTCCGCCTAACCGGGCCACTCTGTATCGATGGTAGGGTAATTCTCCTAACCGGGCCAAATTTTCTCCATATAAACACTTCGGTTCGCCCAGCCTGCTCAACTAGGTAAAGGCGAGACAACCAGAGGATGCGTTAGCGCTGTTGTCAGCTTTTGGCTCAGACAAAAGGAGCCAACGTTGTATGCTTCTCATATAAAGGCTCGCTAAAGTTGACTCGGCTGGAAGGGTGAACCTCCATTCTTTTACCACAGTTTTTCTAACAACTGTTGTAATAGTTTCAAGAATGGTCAGTCTGTAGAAGTGTTAAAAAAGGTAAGTAGTTAGCATTTCAACAACTGTGGTAACTAGCTCGTTTTGGACGTTTTTAACATTTTGTCTTTATTTTATTTTATTATCAGTAAGTGCCTCAGAATGGAGCACAGCTTGGAAATAACAGAGGACACTCTCTGTGGTCTGAGGCTCATTAAACTTCTCTTTAATGGTGGAACAGAGAGGTTAAGAAATGTTTTCGACAACCGTGTGCCAAACCTGCAGCAATTTCTCAAAATCAAAGAGGCTGACATTAAAAAGCTCATTAAAAAAAAAATCATTAACAAGTCACAGAAGGACAAATTATACCCGCCCGTTGGATCCCCTTCGTCCAAGAATTTCGATATCTCTCTGCTTTACAATTTACTTCGAAACGTTTGTGGACTACCGTCTCCCGCTACTGGCTGGGGAACCAAGCCTGCCTCTACGGATCGCACAGTTCAAGGCGCTATAGAGATGATTCATTGGTATCGTAACAAGTACAGTCATCCCTCGGTGGTCGAAGTTGATAAAACTTCTTTCGATGCCTCATGGAGAGAAATTTCTGAAGCGATGCAACGACTTGGTGAAGATGCATCTCGGATAGCAAGCCTTAAAGTTGCGTCACTGTTGACCGGAAACTGCATAGAAAGGCTCGCGAAGTTTGATTTCTCCGCCGAAGTCGAGTGTTATTCGTCAAAACATCATCGTGGAACCCGCGAGTGGGTTTTCTGTCACGTAGACTCGTGGTTTCTCGATCGGGGTTCAGATTCGCGTGTTTTAATCGTCGCTGGAAATGCTGGCATGGGAAAGACAGTTATTGCAGCAAAGTTGTGCAAGAAAATGAAGGATCAGGGGCGTCTTGGTGGTATGCACTTTTGCCAGCATAATAACCAGAGAAGACGGAAACCAGAGCTGATGCTTCAGTCACTTGCAAAGCATTTATGTGATTCACTTCCAGGATTCAAAGAAATTTTAACAGGTAAGATTTTTATTTTAAAAGCAGTTACGATATATAATTATGCAATGAAGGCTTCAAGAATAAGGATGCTATTAAAGAGAGCTGCAAACAGTGAGGTTCCTAAAACACAAAGGAGGAAAATGAAGAAATATTTTCCCAGTATTACTTATTTGTTTTGCATTTAGAAAAGTGCAAAGGGGTATGGTCAAAGAAGAGGCAGCTGTGCTTCCCTCTTACCCACAGGTTACTGATTATCGTGAATTTACCACGACCACTTGCTAAATGGCTACTTGGTCAAGAACCTTATAAAATATAATGTGGGTATAAAAAAAGGAATAGAAGATAAGGCAAATAAGTGTTAAATGTGATCAGCAGCTGAGGGGATCGCATTTATTATTTATTTCCTACAGCCCAAGCTCGTATGTCGCGATATTCATATATTAATTTTTTTTTTACTCACCATCTCCAGGTCTATTACGAAATTATAATTGACGTTGGCCGTGTAATCTCAGTATTAGCGTTTCTTTCTGGTCATCGCGATGATCAGCGTTCGATACCTTATCATGTCGGATGTTTACTTTCATTTTCTTTTTCATCAATTGCTACTGACAGCAGGTTAACAAAACTGCGATGATCGCATTGACGTTTTGTGATTAATTTTTACGAGTAAAACCCAGTGTTCAAGGTCAGTGTATTAAAGCATGTTTCTTGTGGAAAGTGAAACTCATCAAAGGCGAAAGTAGTGAAGGTTACTGTTGGAATCGTTGAACTCAACAATTGTATGATTAATGTAGCTGGAATGATACTTATATATTCATTTCCTCCGGTCCGTTGTGTTTAACTTTTTAGTCTTTGTAAAAATTCACGTGGTAAGTTATACTTAGTATTCAGAAGTGAGACATTGTCTTTTACTAATAGGTCAGCTGGCCTCCGTAAGTGCTAACGAACTAGCGAGTATGAACATAGAAGAGCTGTTTACCCATCTCCTTCAGGAGCCAACAAACATCATCGAGGACCCAGGTATGAATTTCCTGTTGTTGGTCGATGCTTTAGATGAATGCGAGTACGATGGAAGGAACAGACTGTTAGACGTTATTATGTCGCAGTTTCACAAGCTGCCAACTTGGATAAAGTTTCTCGTGACAGGCCGACCAGAAAACCAGATGGCCAAAAAGCTTGAGCATTTAAATCCCCTCGTCCTTGACGCTCAGGACGAAAACAATCAGAAAGACATTGAGGTGTTTTTGGAGGATAGTTTAAGGGATATCTTACCAAGCTGTGACGTGAAGGAAAATGTTCATCGCTTTGTCAATCAAGCCGAAGGGCTCATGCTTTACGCGCACTATTTTGTCCAATTTGTCAAAGAAAATAAAGAAACTGTGAAGCCTGAGGATCTCAACGACATCTTCCCTAGTGGAATTGCCTCCGTTTATGAACAGTACTTTGGTCGCCTACAGATGAATCTCGGCGTCGAGAATGGGCCTTTCTGCGACTTTCTAGCTTCAATTGCTGCAGCGCGGTCTCCGTTGCCCGTTACGGTTGCTTACAGAATACTAGGATTCTGCCGCGACACTGTAGATGGTAATTCAGGTCAAATTCAAAAGATCTCGGGATCCATCTCAACCCTTCTGCCCATTCGAAACGAGTGCATTGATGTTTTTCACAAGTCGATCGTTGACTGGTTGTCTGTCCCTGAATTATATGGAAACCACAGATTCACAGTTGACTTGAATCGAGGCAACGCCATTCTTTCTAGTGAGTGTATGAAGATCTACCAGGCCATTGAGAATCGTCATAATGTCGACGTTGCTGAGAACACTACAGAAGAAAACTATGCTCTGCAACACGGAACTTACCATTCTACTGCCTCTGAATGTTTGGAAATAAGTGAAAGGCAAAGAAATGAACTCTTTCGCCATGCGTGCAGCCTAGAGCTCCTGTATGCCAAGTTACAGAGCAAAGTTTGTGATGTCTTTTCGATCATCGAAGAGCTTCAGTGCATCAAGTCAATTTTGAATTTGCCACATGTGGACTCGATGGAACTGGACGACTGCATAAATTGCTTGAAGCGACATCCTTACGTTCTGATGGAGAACCCTGAAATGATTTTTCAGTTTTTGGTAAACGAGGCCGAAACAACCGCAATGAGTCTTGAAGCTTGTGCTGTAATGCATCAACCCCCATTTGAGATTCCTCTTCGGGTGGAGGTGGTTAACAGAGCCCAGTCTAAGAATCCAGTAACTTCTAAATTCCGATGTAAGACCTACGTGAATTGCTGTGATGTTTTGAAAGATGGCGAACACTCACTTTTGGTCTGTGGATGTAAAGGGGGCTTTATTCACATGTTTTCCTTGGAGACAGGAAGGGAACTATGGTCCTACCAAAGTGATGACGTTGAGGTATGGCCAGAGGAGGAACGTTGCAGCTACTGTGTATTTGTCCCCCATCATGGCGCAATCATCTATGGTCGATTCGATAGTGCTGTGACATTTAAAGGCGAGTCCATGCAGCTGTTTCCGGACAACAGTCATTCTTTCATCGATTCATGTGTTTCACAAGACAGGAAAAAGTTGGTGACTCGACAGACACATTTGACTGCCGCCCTTTTTGTATGGGAACTTGACACAGGAAACATGCTGGCCCGTTTGGAGCAAACAACTGCCAGCATCACCTGCTGCACAATCTCATCCTGCGGAAACTTTGTCATTTCAGGTAGCTTTGACCAAGGCGTCTCTCTTTGGGACATAAATGAAGCACCTAACTACCGATGTCAGCACAATTCATTTGACGGCGAACAACCTTTTATAATTGACTGTCTGGCGAGTTTGGAAGGAAGTTCCCAGCATGTTATTGTAAACTCTTCAAAGAAGCAGTCGTTAACGGTGTGTGAGATAAACACATCCACGTGCGAGGCCTCGAAGACAACGCTCTTACACCTGGGGTCGACTCACAAAAGCCTTGGGGTATCAAGCAGTGGAGGCCTATTGTATGTGTGCGGTGATTCCCAGCGTATCAGCTGTGATAATGTACCATTTCAGGTTCGCATTGTTCCAATTTCCAGTGCGACGAAGTGGGAATATCTTAAAGAGGTGGACTTAGAAAGGGTTCTTCTACGGGACTGTGAGACCGTCTATATGTGCCAGTCCTTAGAGAAGGCAGAGTCTGCTGTTGTGACTGACAGAGGTGTGCAAGCCATTTCCTTTTCAGTGGATGGGAAACATGTTTACGTTCTGTCCAAGGTAGGAATGAGCATGTACGAAGCTTCAAGTGGTCGTTTTCTACGGAACAACACGAACGTTTGCCAAGCAAATTTCTTTGCTCTGTCACCCAATGGAGAATTCATTCTGATTCAAACCAAAGATGTCTTTGAAATATACAATTGCAAGCTTGAGTATCAGTGGTCTCTATTGGATCATCCAGTTGCACACCACTTTTTCTTCAAATTCATTGACGATGACAGAGTTTTGTTCTTGTCTAAAAGGGGAGACATTCAAGTGTGGAACATCGCTGAGAGTAAGTTATTTGTTGAAAAGCTGAACTCGAATAACTCTTTGGTTGAATGTTGCGACTTCTTTACCTTGGAAAAGAGTGTAGGTGACATAAGCACTAATTGGCATTATCGACTTCTCTGCTGTGATCGTCATGGTAGCTTAAGTTTGCATGACACGTTCAAAAGTCGCACTTTTACACAGAAGGTTCCTAATGACCAAATTGTCAAGTGCTGCAAGTTTTCACCAGATGGCCACTCTGTAGTGACAGGCCACATTGATGGCACATTACGGATTTGGGAGGGTAGCCTTTTTGTAATAAAGAAGATTTTGCCTTCTGGAGATGGAATGGTCAACGGGTGCAGTTTCTTAGTTCAAAATCTTGGAGACGTCGTTGTGGGCGTGCACGAGTCTGGTGCTTTTAACGTATGGGATGTGTTTCGGGAACGTGTGCTTGGATTTATGAGCTTTGAAGGCAAACTTCGTGGACTCGTTACTTCTCCATTGAATGCGCAGGTCTGTGTCGCTCTTGAGGACAAAATGGTCATTCTAAATGTTCACGGACCTGAGATTGATTAAATGAACACATTAAACTCTTGAGCCTCTTTAGCCGCTGAAAGCTTTTATTGCTTGAGAAATTTAAAGGAGACTGTGCGGTCGACAGGTTTATAGAAACCAGAGGCATCAGAAACGCAAGACACATGTAAACCATTTTTGCTTTCAGACCTAGTCTTTTTTTATTATACCAAGTTTTTACATAGTTTATTATTCATAATCAGGGCCATAATAGCAAGTCCCAGGCCAATGATATGAGCCGGTAGACATATGATGTACTTCTTTGCGGTAATATAATGTGAAAAATTAAATTCTTCTGAGAAACGATAAGAATGTCTCCTTTGGCTCGTGCCTTTATTTCATTATAAATCTGCGCTCCATCTTTTTTTCTTATTGAGTAAAAAGGGGAAACCACCCTCCAGTGTAAATAAACTAACATATGATCGACCTGTCGTTGCCATGACGAGAATAAGATTTCTACGAGGTGCAACACTGCTACTGCTTCGTCCTCAGTCGCTCGCGGTCCCTTTTTGGGGAATATTTGAGTTAATTATTAACGAAAGCGGGGGCACTCGCTGCACTCGTTCATATCATTCTCCCGCGCTTCTCGCTTGTCTCCAGCTCTCGCGCCTCTCGCTTGTTCTTGTTCCTCACAAGGTCCTGGGAAAGCCTGTAGGGGAGGCAGGGTGCGATAAACGTCTGCTGCATCCAGTGTCTGAGAAAGCAATCTATCAATATTTAAAGGGCGCCCGTGGGCGGGATCACTTCCGTATTTGGCCAAACTCCAAGGATATACCGCAGAACTGAGTGGCGATTTTAGGATCGTAATTCTTAAACGGCGAATACAATTTCACTAGGACAAAAGAAAATAGTATTTATCTTTGCTGCACAACAACTGTATCACCCTGTATCATGCGTATTGCTTCTGAACAAAACGGAACAGAAAAAACGCCAGATTCTGGCTTTTTCACACGTGATCTGACAAATACAGGTATCATGTCTTCTGTCCCGAAGTCGAAGCGTCCATACCGACGGCACCCTTGGTTAATTATCGCAAAAATATTAAACGTCTCTATTGAACAGGCAAAGAAGTGTAGGCAAGATCAGGGTTGTTTCGCTGCATTGGTTGACCGTGTAGTCAGTCGTCAGTGCAACTCCATGAACAAGATTACTGATTGGAGGATTAAACTGTACTGTACTGTACCAGAGAGACAAACGGAAATAAAAAATTGGCCATGATGGCAGGCGACGCTATATACTTAACTGTGAAGAGTCACGGCGTAGAGTAAATGGGTGAGTGTAGGCATTCTGTTGGAAAGAGATCGTGGGTTTAAAACTTAGGTGTGGCAAAAAACAAACAACAACATACATCATTAAAAAAAGGCACTACCGCCTTTTATTTGCTCATATCTATAACTTATCCGAAAGAACTCGAAGTTGTCTCGAGAGTTTCGAGTTGTTTTCCGGATAACTTTATAAAATTATTCCTATAGCATTCGAAATAGAAGTGACGGACTTAAAGACAGTAAGCTAAAAAGAAGATATGCTCCAAAAATTAAACGAAACGGAAAATATTGCATTTGAGGTCAAACAAATTTATTTACAATTATCATTTTCTTGCAGATTATTTACATATCTATTATACAACATCGTTGATTGCCGACATGTTACTGCCGTCATAAAATTAAAAAGTATGCACAGTGTTTTCTCCCTTTATTAAAAATAAATAAACTGTAATCTAGGTCATGCAAAATGGTCACGCTCTGATAGTGAAGTGTCACGCACACCACGTGGTTGTAGGCTCTATGTCTTTGAGCGCCAGAAATGTTGACAACTTATGCTCAAAATCAATAGGGAGATCCTCTGGCTCTCGATAACGACTGGTCATCTCTTTACCAAGGTAGCCAATCAGCTCGCATTCCTCTTCAAATCTCATTAGTTTCTGTTTGTACTTCTTCCGGACGTAATCACTGCTCTTTGGGTTGTAGGCTGAAATGAAAAAGAAACCCACTGCTGTAAGCTTTTATTTGTCGGGAACTTTAATTCAATGGTGAGTTCACGCAACAGGACGACAGAAAGAAGTGGACGGAAAAACGCTTGTGCGTGACAAACGTGACCGAGCTATTACATGCATGTTTTGTCGTCATCTTCACTTAACATGAATGTTACTGGTGTAGTTGTAAAAACAATCTGTTAAAAGGAGGGTGAAACGCAGTTGTTGTCACGGTTTTCTTATAAGGTTTGCCGTCTTTTTTCCTCTCCCGTCCTGCTGCGTAAATTCCCTAATTGCAGACAGCAGACGCACTATTTTACACGCCCTTTTAATTTATTACTAAAGCTAGTAATTACCAAACTTTAGGGAGTTCGTGCGAGATCGGTCGAAGGTTCAAACGCTCTAGGCTCAACGCTGTGTTTTGCGTAAGTTTAACGTGATGGAAGATGAAAACGTTCGTGATCAGATACAGGTGACAGAAGGTCTCAACGCGATGGTCAGATTGCGTTCTATGCATTACGTTCATTCTTCGATGAAATAAAAATACAAACGAATCCTGACTACATACGTGCTGCGCACGAGTAATAGCAACCTGGAGATTAGGTTTGCAGGCTCCTCTGGTCTCCCGCAATAAGGGGGTGGAATGAGTCCCGTAAACATGGCCATCACAGACGCCTACTAATATGAAAGGATGCCTAAATAAAGGATTGTGCAAGGAACAGCATACACAAGAATCCAGTCAAGGGTTGTTTGCCGATTTCGTCATGCACACTTATTCGCTCTTAAGCAAATTACTGGTTTCTAAAGCAATATGATTGGACGAATTCTTAAAAAACAATGTGTTTTCAGCAATATATCACTTACCCTTAAGATGATAGGCTATGTAGAGAAGAGCTGACTTCTTGGCGTCAACAAACGGATATTTGGGTTTAAAACATCCCACTGCAGTTAACGCTTTGGTCAGTGCTGTAGCGACACTCTGCTCCATGTAACCTAACATGGGCAGTCCACTGACAAGCATAGGTTCTTTTCTGGGGGGTAATTTGTGTGGGAGTGTTAGACTATAATACTTCTCTGGTAATCTGCAAAGGATGTGTAAACAATAGAGAGGTTAATGCATTAAGCATTGTGTTTATTCAAGTTACACTAGGAACAACAAAATGGAAGTTATAGTTTGGGGATATCTATTGCCAGGCAATTTCAATCTCGTTAAAGCTCTTGGATTCATGTCTTGATTTCAGTAGAAGATCCAAAATATACGAATAGATTTCAAACTTCACTTTCGTCGGGAAAGGCAACCGTAAAAGGTGGCGCGAAAATCATTATCGCCTTACAGCCTTTGCTGATCACGTTTGCTCATTCACCAAACATACGTATATATCACTTGACTTGAGGGTGCTTTGAGCGCATAATTTTAAGTTACCTCATAAATTTCTGCAGTTTCTCCTCGGACTCGAAGCAGAAGAGTTTTTCTCTGTACTCGACGACTAGGTCTGGCTCACCCGGGACGATATTCTCGTATCTGTTAATGATATTCCAAACAAGGAAAAAACAAAAAGGAAAACGATAAGTAACGTCACACAAATGTCAGTATGTAGCATCATTCGCTCACATGATCATTTCTGGTCATATGACCGTCACTAATCCGCTATGCATTCGGTTGATTAGACTGAAAAACAGTCGGTATTTTTCTCAAAATCAGTAAAGAAATCGGTAAAGCGTGGCGTAAGAGTCTTAGGGGGGCGAAGCGGTGAGGCGAGAGAAAAAAGCGTCTCTCCCCAGTCTCGCTCTCTGTTTTCAGCCTCGTTCCAGACCTTTTGTTTGACTGCTCGCGCGTACTTGAATACGCAAAAATACGGACTGTTTTGCAGTCTATCGATTGATGAACGTCAGGAGATTTGGTTGAAATATGCCAGGTACTTTCGTCGCGTTCTAAGTTCTTTATAACATGTCTACAAAGATACGCGTTCTGATTTTCAAGGATTGGGTTGAATTTTGCTTTGTTATACTTTGGATGCTGCTCTCTTGTATCTCCTCAATGTTGGAACTAGAATAATTTATTCACCTTAGCTTGCCATCCAAGTAAGTTACTGGACAGTATCCCTTCAGCTCAATTTGTTTCGGAAACATGGTCTTCACCTCAGCTGCGGTCCTTCGCTTAGGTAGGAGCTCAAAATCGGGGAGTTTTCTAGGAGCCAAAGGCGGTACATAACGAGCAGGGTCCGCCAGAAAGAGTTCCAACTCAACTCTTGACGCCATTTTGTAATAGCGTCCGCGGAACTCAGCAGCAAACTCCAGGGAAGGGTTGACGGAACAGTCGACCAGTTCTCCACGGTCGGCCAGGCTGACAGGACAGTATTGACCAAAATCACCCAGCCTGACCAGGCACTCAGAAGGTGTGATACACATGTCAGCCACTGATGCCGCTTTGCCTGGAAAAGAGAACAGCGACGGCATAAGGGAGGGGAGTGTTAGGTGGAGTTTTTAACTGTGATTTGGTAGTCTTATAAGGACGTTAATTTTCACAATGAAGTGGACAAACTTAGTGAAGCGTTAAAGGTGAGTGGGGGAGTTACTCTCACCGAAGAGGGATAAACCCTATTGGTGGCAGTACGTGCAGGAAAGGGAAACCAAACAATCAAAGAAACGAGTGAAGCCAAACAAAATGGTATCCTTTAAACTTATGGGAAAGGTGTTTTTTTGTTTGTTGGTTGGTTTTTACGTTTCTCGCCAGCTCTCATAACCACAGTTTTGGGTGCAAAATACATAGACGAGTTATTTGTTTCTTTAGAAAAGGCAAGAAACAAAAACAAAGTGTCTGGCCTCAGTTGTTCAAGCGGTGGATAACGCTATCCAATGGAAAAATCTGTATCCACTAGATAGCACAGTTAGTTTCCTTAATACTTATCCACTGCATAGTGATTTATCCAGTGGATAGCACTATCTAACGTTTAAACAACCCGGGCCTGGTCTTTCTGCAGACTAACTGTTATAGCTTCTAATATTACTGTGAAACTCACAAAACCGTGAACACCAGAAATATTTATGGAATGTTATTGTGTTTTGAAAAATAAGCCAATAAGGCGCGAGATAACTAAACCGCAAACATGAACGGTAATTATATTGTGCATTTGAGATTTGCTAGCATGTCCTGAACTTTATTGTGATTGGCCAGTACACAATCAACATTCCTGAAATTTTTCAGGTGCTCACGGTTTTCTGAGTTTGACGGTAAAAAGTATTTGGGTGATTAGAAATACCTTCAGATAATCTTTGTAAGTAGGTTTGAATCTGACGGACACTTTTCCTGGCTTCATCCAGGGCTTGGTTCCACACCCACCACTTAGACCGCTGACCATCCAAAGAAACCCAGTTTTTGTGTTCCTTTTGGTACCATTCCCTCACGTACGAAATCTCCCGCTGCCAGGCGTTAAGCCTGATACCCAGTATCTGCTGACTGTCGTGCAAGGGAAGAACTCTGGGATTCAAAAGTAATTGAATTTCATTGACACCTCACACGATTTTCAAAAGACTACATATCCCTAACCTGTTTAAGATATTAGGAACCTTAAGCAATGACGACGTTGACGGCATAGCTTTGAATTGGCAAAACAACAACTTTGCACGTGCACCACGCTTTTTTGTACATTTCTTCGCCGTCGCTGCTCGACTACGACGTGAAACTTCCTGATTTTACGTTTTCTTGGTGGACAGGAACACAAGACAACGATTTTCCTATTTTTGTGAACGTAGATACAGTCCATCAGAATTCAAGTCATGAAAACATTTGACAAATTAAAAAGAGCTGGAAAAAGAGCGATGAAGTTTTAAACAGCGCGAATAGTCCAGTTTCGAACTCTTCGTGGCCACTGAACAGAAACACTTAAGCCTCATTCATACAGGGTTAGCCTCGACCTTAAGAAACATATTCGCAAATACGGGCGAGAAGGTGCCTGAATTTGTGTTCAAAACAAAAGACACAGTTGTACACAGGTCTTCCTCTCACTGGAATTTGTGAATATATTTACCTTAGATCGAGGTTAACCCTGTATAAATGAGCCCTCAGTGCTTCCATTCAGCGGCCGCGATGTCTTAGAAACTGGACTATTCACTTTTTGGGTGACGCTTTAGCTGCCGTTGCCGTCGTCGTTGTTTAAGCTGCCTTGATCGTCCAAGACGCGGACGCACGTGTTTATGGGACTATTTTTTTTACCTTGTAGGAGCGTGTCGGTCAGCGGTTCCCCGCCTTAGCACTTCATCGTCTTCTACTTGAAGTTCCAGGACTCTGACAGGAATGATCTTTCGCTCAGTCATCAGCTCCACTTGCCTTTTGGTTACTGGATAGCCATCAAGTATATAGCTAATAACGAAATAAAACGAATGTTAGAATCATAGAAATTAGTAAAATCCAACTAGTGGTCTATTATCAAAGCTGCGTTCTGATTGGTTGAACTACCACTAGGCTATATGTTATAGCCCACTAGTAGCTAAAGCGCCGGCTTTTTGGCGGCAAAAAGGGATTAAAGTCTAGCTTTTACCAGCTAAAGTTGTTATGTCTCGATATTTTTGACCAGCTAGTTGGATTTACTAAACCAATTATTCCTCGAGCCCGAATGGCCTCTAAGTCAATAGCCCATGAGGCCGAAGGCTGAATGGTGAAGTATACACACAAATTCTTAAAATTTCCCTGTTTGTTTTTTTTTTTGGCCAGAGGAAGTCAAAATTGAATTAGCCCAACGATATTAGGCTGCTTGCATCCGGACTTCTCACTCTGGACCTACAATCAGCGACAAATTTGTTTAGACATTGTCCTCATATGGGGTAACTTCGGAGAAAAACAATCCACACCCCTCCCCCCTCTTCTCCATTCAAAGTTGGGGTGTTTTTCTACAGGTTACTCGTACAACGGTACAACATTGCATGGAGGGATTGGGGGAGGGTTAAGCGGGAAAAGTGGTTTACAAAAACACCTTATTGAACTAAATTTAACTGCGGGCGTGATTGGCAAGTCTGTCTACATCAAACACGCACGTACCAGCTTTTAGCTGATAACCAGTCATTAAGGCGGATATAAGACTTCAAATATGGAATATCTAATCGCTGGACGTTTTATATAATACCAAACTTAGCCAGCCAATCACAGCAAGTGCTACATGCCCTTACCCTCGTGTCTGACACTGCATGTCCAGTAGCGCCACTTCCAAGGCTTGAACAGCCAATTCATCGGGTACAGTTGTACCAGCTTTCAAATGTAAGTTGATTTGTCGCGCTAATTCCGTATAAGACTGGAAATTAAGGACTTTTCTTATCGCCTCACCGATGGATAGTCTGACAACCCCATACTCTGCCACAAAACGATTTGCCACTGCAAAAAGACAAAGTTTATTGGGAAAAATCATGTTGACAACGTGGAGAAAATAGGAGCTGTGTCACAGCTGGCGAGTTCATTTTGGTTATAATATCAATTGCTCGTCCTTATTCGCTATGAACATCGAGAAATCACTAGTGAATGACAAAATCACAGCTTTGCGTAAAACAAATATACCTCCCAGGCGATATTTCAAACGTTACAAACAACAAAACAAACCTTTAAGAAATTGTTATGAATATTCAAAAACCACAACTGCAATTCGTTTCAATCTTCTTCACGTTTGTCCATCCTTGCCTTCCTTTGCATTTGCGGTGATACGTTTTGGGCGGTTATTACCAAGTGTCACTCAATTTGGTGGCAGCACCCACTGTTTGAATTTTTATGAATTTCGAGACTTTGCTCCTTAATAGGTAATTAAATTCCCTGTAGCCTTACTACATGCCCCTTAGAATGAACAAACTATGAACACTTTTTGTAGCAAGACACTTGGATTTGCCGGACACAATAGCATTCCGTTTTTCACCCGTGGATACCCGAAGGGCATCCAAAGGCTTTTTGTGATGAGTTTCGATATGCAAATGTCTCACTCGCTCACTTGACAGAGATCGGCTCTTCGAGTCCGACCCGAACTCACTGCCCGATATATTTTCGCTGAAACATTATTTGTATTAGTAGATACTAGTAATAACTTCTTGATCTTGCAAATTTATCAAGGCGTTGAAATATACAACCTGCACCTTCTATCGGTATTTTTTTCTGCTTTCCGAGCAATTCAGTTCTCGCCTGCCTAGTAGGTAGTTATTTGGCTGGTTGTTTGGTGAGTTTTTCGTTTGTGGTTAAGATACAGGGGAGCGAAAGCTCTGAGATCAAAGATGTGGGTTGCCTGCGTCTAGACGAGGGTCTAGACGAGTGCTTGGGTTGGTTGAACGGCAGGCTAAGATGTGGGAAGGGGAAAGAGGATTTACTAAAGAATAATCCACGGGTTTCCCAAGGGTTGACTCCCTCACCAATACAGTAACAGGCACATGATTTATCGAAAAAGCCGAGATAAAAAAAAAAAGAGTTCACGTATTTTTTTAATACTTACGTCCGGTTTTTCCAGACTTGGGAGGTCCAATTATCGCCATCTTTATAGGCACTACAGGCTTTGGCGAGGGCTGTTTCAAGAAGCGGGACGGGCACTGCATGAACGAGTCCCGTTCATCCCGTCCCGAGCAGAAGTAAACGTGCTGCCGATACACTACTGGAAAAGTATAAGCTCCGGGACCTTGCTGAGGAGGGAGAACTTCTCCGTCGAGGAGCTAAGAAGAAAGTGGAACAGGTTAGTGTTGTTTAGGACCACTTGGCTATGAGTGGGTGTCCTGCCGTTAGCTGAAAATTTTTATATTGGACCTTCTGTTCCGGTTTGAAAAGTAAATGGGTTCAACCCAGCAGAACTAAGAGAGGCAGGAAGAGAAAGCGTGGTCGAGCAGTTAGAGCAATGGATTTGCAAGTCTGGAGGCTCTGATTTTGAGTCCCGAACAGCTAATTGAATTTTTTCTCGATAGTCCCGAGTTTAACTCCTCGGCCTTGCTTGTAACAAGTGCAACTGGTTTGCCTTCGGTCAGCTGGGATTCTTACGTGCTCCGTTTTTTTTTTCCAGTTATTTGTTCTTGTCCTAATTTACAGGGGCGGATCCAGGATTTTTTTTAGGAGGGGGTGCACTCGTCTCTTGCTCTACTTCAACACCAAGAAACCACATAGTTTTTTTTTTTGCAGAATACCAGTTGTATTAGAAAACCGCAGGTCATCTCGGGGGGGGGGGGGGTGCACCCCTGCATATGGTTAGCCCTCTTAGGCCCTTTATTGTTTTCTGAACTTGCCTCTCCGGGCAAGTCCATAGTGTCGTCATATATTGGGTTGTGTTTTTTGAAACAGGAACCTTCAGTTACTAATGGAAATACGGGAAAGAAGACTCAAAGTTCTCACTGGAAAGCTGAAAGAGCTAGCTTTTTTGAGACCTGTTTTAAACAAAGTAATGGGCGTAATACCTTGACAGGACACCACCTTCCAAAGCGACTTGGAAACTTGTATCCCATAATAATCATCCTGTTGGCAAGATAACCATCAATAGCAAAGCAGCGGTCAAACAGGCTTTCCCTGAAATCTACAACCGGTTTCAGCACCTTCTTAATACAGTACTCAACAATTCGCGGCTTGCGTCCTCCATTTATATCCACTCGAGGAATGGAAAGTTCTTCAAGTGTTTCCTGTAAGATGAAAGAAAATCTTCATTCAAGGTCTTCGTTTGTATAAAACTTCAACGCAATCGTGTTTTCGTCGAATTGACTAGGAAAACATCTCATCCTACAATCTAGGACAAACGTACCCGACAAAATGGCAAACTGAATGCAAAATACCTTCAGCAATGCTTTTGCCTGAACAATTTCACAGACGTTTCTTTTTCCTTCCCCCTCCCCTTAATCAAACTAGATATAGGAACGGGCCCCACCCAGCCTACCCAGGGTTACTTTATAAACCAAAACAACTTAAATTTGGGGAGAGGAGATCTCAAGTTCCGCTGATTCGTCTTTGTCCCCGTGGAAAGCTCATTTTCTTCAACAGATTGTTTAGTTTACCCATTTTTCTGTCAATACAAACGAATCTCAATACTCTTGCATGAGGATGATTCTAAATGCACGCTGACATCTCTCACAGAATATAAACAGCTGATGGAACACCTAAAATAGAATGCCTCTCTTTCTTTCTAGGCCAATCGTAACGGCCTAGATGCGTTCAGAAGCTTTAGCAGTGTCTTTGCTTCATAAATAACACACTCGTACCAATCACATCTCATACATAAATGAACAGTTAACGGAAACCTACACTGGCCTTTCCCCTCAGCTTTTGACAGCTCTTGTCCAGATACAGTTTAACCCTTTAAGCCCTTAGAATGTTCAGCAGGAAATTTCTCCTTGTAAGATCAGTGCTTTATAAAACAAAGTGGTTATGAGAATTGAAGACATCATCACAGGAGATGAATCTACCTGATACTTCAATAACTTCTCACCGCCACATATGTACTTCTATAGAAGATGATGTATAGCGACAACAAATGAGAATTTGAATTTTGATTTTAGACTTACCTGTACAATGGCCAGTTTGCCCGTCTCTTCATCATATCGATCTCCAATTTCAGTCTTAAGTCTCTCAATGGCGTCCTCTTCGCTTTCTTCCTCTTCCTCCTCAACTTCTTCCTCATCTTCTTCCTCGGCGTCCAGCAATGCTTCAATGTCTTCTTCTTCGTCGTCTTCCTCCTCTTCTTCACTGTCGTCGCTGTCTCTCTGCGCTCTGCGAGCCTGACGTCAAAGTAACGCAATACAGAGTTAAAGCGCTGCGTCTGTGGCAAACGGCGACGATTTTCCCGCTATTTATTCTGCTTGTTGTTTGCCTTTATCGACACAATCCATAATCTTCTAGTTAAACCACAAGGGGAACCCAAACGCTGTGAAAGCTATATCATATTCAGTTGTTATTTTAATACCTGTGTTCCTGAGTTTGGAACGGGATTTGAATCAGATCGAAGACGGTTTCAAATGTTTAGTCTTGTCGGCCAAGGGACAGTTACGACTCAAGTTTTGGAAACAGTCTTCCTTTGGGTTTCAATTAAACTGTCGTGTCCAATTCACTACGCGCCAAACAAGATTTAATATTTGAAATCGGCAGGGTAAACCGTCTTCGATCTGATTTAAATCCCTTCAAAGACGACTTAAGACTCAGGAACAGGTATTAAAATAACATCTAAATCTGATATAGCTTTCACAGCGTTCGGGTTCCTTGTGGTTTAAAGGCTAGTTCAAAACAAACAAAATGTATCTATTCAATGTCAACAATGTACACAAACTATAGTTTTCGAGCCTCCAAGTGCATGCAGAAGGTCAAAAAAGCGCGCACATTCTAATGCAAAAATAATCGTCGTTACTATTATGACGCACTACTAAGTACGTGAAACCAAGTTGCAAGAAATCAACGAAGCGCGCACATTCGAATCCGAAAACAAGTCCTTACGATTATGACGCACTACTACTTGACAGAAATTTGCACGAGGCCAAACAAGCACGCACATTCGAATCCGAAAACAAGTCCTTGCGATTATGACGCACTACTACTTGACACGAATTTGCACGAGGCCAAACAAGCACGCACAGTCGAATCCGAAAACAAGTCCTTACGATTATGACGTACTTGAATTCGTTTGGTCTTACCATTTTCTCGGCTTTTTTTGCTTCAATCTCTGCCAACTTTTCTTCTCGTCTACGCGCTCGGTCTTCATCCTGTTGGCGGAAAACAAGGTAAAGAAAATGTAAGTCCGCGTTTTAGTTATTAAATAAAAACGGGTTTGCTTAAGTATCGTAAAACTAAGCCGAGGTTATCACACTGCTCGATTCCAACCGAAAATTGGCAGACAAGACCAGTCAGAACTCGTTGCAAATACAAAGCCGTTTACAGACATTTCTAGTTAAACCATAGATGTAAATAGATGTATAGATGCACAGATGTATACTCGTAAGAGTTTATGAAGGGAAAAATTTCTTTGTACTACCCTATTGACTGCCTCGGAGTTTTCAGTTGGTATTGTGGAACACTCTTAACATACACTCAATCGTGCAAAAAGACATTTTTCCTAAACAAAAAAGCTGTATTTTTTTTTCGGCGCGGCAAGGTTAGGAAAATTCTAAGGTTTTTCTCTCACCTTTTGTTTTTTAGCTAATGCTCGTTGCCTTTCTTTTTCGGCCTCTCTCTTATCTCGCTTTTTGCGCCACTTTTCGAGCATCGGAGGCAAAAGTCGATCCGCGATTTCTGTATCTTCAACCACCAGGATGACAGCAAGATCAGGAAACAGACCGGAAGTGGACAGGTAACGAGCCTCGGCTTCAGTACGAGGGAAGCCCTCCAGGATGAATCCAGTAGACCTTGTAGGAAATGATATTTCAAAATAAGCGGTCAAATTTTAGGAATTGTCAGCTGACCGCTCAATACAGGTTTGACCAGGCCAAAAGTACACCAGAAGAAGAAATCGATGACAGGCAGAGAGATGCATAAAAAAACTTAGGAAGTTGAGAAATTACCAACTATTTCAAGCCATACAAAAATGACCTTAGTGTAGTTGTGTAGCGCCTCTTAAAATAACTCTTTGTGACGTTGGAAACAGCGACTGTCGCCGCTTAATAGAGGTGCGCTTTATACACAGTAAGGGAAACGATCTCTGGGACGTCGGAATGTGAACACTGTGCAATGCTTAGGCCATCCCAATTTAATGCTTTGTTTCCTATCGCCCGACCGACCCATTTTTTTGGAAAAGTAAAAAAAAAAAAAAATTCCAGAATCACTCGTAAAGAAGCAAGTACTTTAATTTACAAGCACACGATCTTGTCTTATTAACACGAATTGTCTTAAGTTATCATCGATACTTCGTTTTTGTAGCCTTTTTAGACATTTGATAGTCCTGTTAATATACATCTTTTACCATCTGATTATATCTTGCAGACTGAACGTGAGATTTAATATGCAATCATGTGCTCATTCTTTTCTTTTTTTTTTTTGCCCGACCGACCGACCCACCTTCACGAGAGGGAGGGCGATGGGAAACGAAACATTTTATTGGGATGGCCTTAGTACAGCAGGTTTAAAAACTGTATTGGATTAGGTGATATGACGTGTCTAAGATTTAGCCTACAGTTTCCAGCAGCCAAAGAGCACAGGACATTTGTCGTAGAATTTTGTCTTACCGAAATGGCTCTTCGTTCCAAAATGCAGGAAGAATCTTGTCCAAAGTTTCGTTGGGAAGTGCTTCACCGTCAGCTAAATTGGCGCGGATACTCTCTTCTTCATCTGTAAGTTCCGGTTCCGCTTCTCCTTCGGCTCCAGATCCCTCCTCGCCTTCCGCTGCTCCCTCGCCGTCTTCGGCTTTCGGAGCACCTTCTGATTCTACATGATGAGTCCAAATAAACAATACATTAGAAAGTAAAGAAAATAGCAGTTTCCGCGCTTTCGGTGGATTGCTTTTATCAATGAGCATTTTGTGTCGGTTGATGATACGATTACGCCTACTCTTAAGCCAATTTTTAAGCACATGGGCGCTTATTCGATGAAATAGAATAACCCCGCAAATATAAACAGATCCACTGGCTGCCGTAAACTGTAGTGTAAGTTCAAATTCATTAAAAAAACTGGCCCTTACAATTACGGAACAGCAAATATTATAAGAAAAACAGTTATAATAATTATATTTAACACAAGGTAATGAAATCGAATCATCACGGTAAACTAAAGATCATTGACTGCTTACCAGGTCCTTCCATTCCATCAGGTGCCGTGATGGCCTGTTCCCCTGTTTCCTCTTCGTCGTCATCATCATACTCGGGCCCAATCCTCTTCTTGGTCTTAGCAATGATTAGTTCCTGCAGACGATCTTTGAATGAAATGTGAAACACGCCCATCTGCTTGGCCAGTTGGCGGCCGTGAAGAGTTTTTCCAGCTCCTTTAGGACCAATGACAAGAAGACGGACTGGAGGAGGCTAAAGGTCAAAATACATTAAGTTAAAGTCAAATAATTCCACAACGGTTGATCAAAAGAACAACCAGACAAACCTGCAACAGATTATTTTATTCTAAAAAGTTTTGTCGTTGTCATACGAGTAAGTAAGTTCAGACAGTTGAGCATTAGAAAATAAGCTAAAAATCCATTTATGAGGTGAGAGGTGATCAAACCAAAGGACTTATATTTTAGGGGTGCTGGAATGTATATGTTGGGAAAAATGCTGGACCGAAAGGAAGGGGCTAGAGGTCTGGCGAATTTTTCCATTGCTACATATACTATTTTCTCTGTCATTCAAACCAACATAAAATCGCAGTGTTAAGGATCAAAAACCTCAAACTTGGCAGACCTACTATTTCTTTTGTGCTTTTTCAGTCTCTGGTTATTTTAGCATGATAGGTCCCGTGGGTTCGAGCTACTAAACGTTAACAAACTGGTGTGAATATACTCTAACAATAAATCTTGTTGAGGTTTTTTTTTTCGTTTAATTTACTTATTGTTTTGGTTTGGGTTTGTGGTCCGCCAACTTCTTTGGAACGATAAGAAAACATTACTTTTTTACAAGTAAAACAGGGACCTAAATATCAACTACTGTTCCTCACCTCGAGAGGTTTGTCTTTGGGTAGGAAACTCTCTGGATCGTCTAAAAACGTAGCCCTAGTTTCAGGCGAGGAGAAAAAGTACGTTCTTTCACGGTACTTGGAGGCGCATTCAGCAATACCAGGCCACAAAACATTTCTTTCCTTAAGCATGACAGGGCAGTAGTGATTGGTCTCGCCAAATATTTTTTTCTTGTCCTTGTTGTAAATGTCTTCCTCCTCCTCCTCTTCTTCTTCCTCTTCTTCGGCGAAATCTTCTTCTTCTTCGTCTTGGTCCATTCCTGTGTATTCCCAGCCACGGTAGTTAAACGGCGCTGAAGCAAAAGCGTAGGATAGTTTCATAAGTGAATGGTGAAGACCTAAGAGCCATTTAGCTTTCCTTTCCTTCAGAGAGAACGCTTCCCAAGTATAGATTTGCGACCTCCACGAACTTGCTTGTTAAGAAAATCTGCCATCAAAGCTTATTGCCTGTGCTGTTCATCAAGTATTTAAGTCTAAACGTGCAAAGCATGCTTCGTCATTGACTAACGCCTTAAACAGGGAATACACGACGAAGGCTCTGAGCACTTGTTTGCTTTCCACAGTTAACCGATAGTCTTCCATTAGCCTCACCCATCTTTACATATAACAACATAATGCAAGTAAGGTAAAGTAAAAAACCAGGAAACCTCTGTGCATACCTTCAACTCTTCTTATAATCTGCTTGTTTAGAGCATCTACTTCCTGTTCAACTGACACCGAGATAAGATCAGGGTTACTAGTGCCTTTTAGCACAGAAAGCAGCTGAGGAAAGTCTCGATCATAGTTTGTTCTGACATTCTTGAACTCCTCAGTCTCGGGTAAATTAGGTGGCATGTCTGAATCCAGGGGAAACTCCTCTTCTTCCGGTGCTGCTTCAAGTGACAAGTCTTCAGCCGACGGTTGAAGCTCGGTAGAGTCAGAAGCCTTAGGTCCAGTAGCTGCCTCCTCTTCTTCTTCCTCTTCTTTCGCCTGCTCCTGACCCTCCTTCTCTTCCTCAGCCTCCTTACCCTCTTCCTTATCTTCAGCTCCCTCCCCTTCTCCCTCACCAGCCGCTTCTGCCTGTTCCTGTCGGAGTCTTTCTTCCTCCGCCTTTCTCAGAGCTTCCTCTGCAGCCCTTCTTTCAGCTTCTTCTTTTTCTCTCCTCTCCCTCTCTGCTCGTGCTGCTTCCTGGCGAGCCCTCTTCTCTGCACGTCTGGTCTCCCACTTCTTGTGAAGCTCTGAGGGGGAAATATCAGATATTTCGTTAGACAGCAACACAGTCGGGTTTTTTACAAAATCGGTTTTTTTCGGGGTTAGGGTCTCGCAGGTACAAAGCGCATAAGTCTGAGGGGAGAGAAAATCCCGAACGAATTTAACTTATGCAAAGTGGACAGTCCGTGTTTCAGTCTCACTCTCAGCTTTTCACCCTCAGTCCAGATCTTTTGTTTGACTGCATACCGATACGCGTTCTAGACCTGCGCAACTATGAACTGTTTTGTAGTCCAGCATCTTAAACGACACGTTGACAAGTTAATTTATCTGCTTCTTACGTATAAAACCAACAATACAGCGTAGCAAAAAACACTCCGGAAAATAAAGCGTACTGCCTTGACGGTGATTTGGATATCTGACATCAATCATCTATCAACTATCTAGGACATTAGGTGTCTTAACAGCCCTTGAGGACTTAAAAACTTTCTCTTTTTTTGGAGTTTGGAATCAACAATAGTTTGCGCAACACCAAGAAGCTAACCTGCGTAGCAGGCGCTTGGAAGTAATGTGTGCAGGAAAAAACGGGCTCGCGCGAGAGACACGCGTGTCTCCCTCGCGCGCCCCGTTCTTTCTTGCGCCCACTATTTCCAAGCGCCTGCTACACAGGCCAACAAGAAGCAAGAAATTCAGCATTTAAGGCTACTATGTCGACAACAAGGTAACAAAGACTTCAACACTCTACATTGTTCTCACCTTCTTTGTTCGTCTGATACCATCTTTTCAGTAAAAATTCACCATTCTCACTGTCATCTTTCAGACAAATCACTTCATCAGGGATAATATTCCTTTCAATCATAGACGTAAACTGCTCGCGTGTTCTGGGAAAGTTATCCAACACATAACCGCCAGCACTGGGGAGAAAGCAAATCATAAAAACCACTTATGCCAACGAAATGGATGATTTCATTGACGGATAGATATCGTTCTGGTATAGACAATCAAGTAGACTGCGACCAAACTCAATTTTTCTTCAGATTTTCTGATGGGAGGGGCATATGGCAAGACTTTAATTTGTAATACGTTAGTTGTTTTAATCGAATCTGTGCCCTAGGGCGTGCCCTGGGGGGAGGGGGCACTGTACATTACTTTACCTACTTTTGAATAAGGCAGCGCAATTACAGTGAACGTGCTCGGGCCACAGTCGAGCAGTTGTGAAAGAAGTTGAGGATCCCAATGGCACACCTCCAGATAAATTACTAGATTTTCTCACGCCTCTTGTAAATATTTTTCTTTTTTAAAAGAAAGATGGAGATAATATAAGGTAAATTGATTTTTTCCAAATCCCCGATTTAACACTCTTTGCAAATTTGTTTTAGTTGTTTTTAAATCGTTTTTTATATTTTATCTATGTGGCTGACCCGCCTTGAATGGGCATTCACGTTTCTTTGTGACAAAGCACTATAGTATACATATATGTGAAGGAAATAAAGGTTTTGTTGTTAAGGTTGTTTAAAAACAACCTCTAGACACCAAGTAGCCCTATCTGGAGCATTTTAAAAGAAAAGTTTGTACGAAGCTTGGTGTGGGAGGCAACCAAAGTGTATCGTGGGGGATGTGAAGGTATATAACAGTTGATGCAGAATGGTACGATTCACCAGAAAAATGTATAGTGTAACCTCAAGCTTTCCACTTTGATTGATCACCAGTAACATCAAGTGAACACAGCCATAACAGGTGTCACTTGTCACAGCCCTTAATGACAGCAATGTGGAATAACAACTACTGACTTTCGCAGGGGCATAGCGAGCCCATTGACCAGTAGGCCCCGGGCTAAAAAGCTTAAGAGCTTAAAGTGTTGGTGAGGTCAGTGCATACTAACCATGCGTGCAATCAATATAAAATTTACAAACAAGCATCTTTCCGGATATGTGGAAGTAAAAGTTAGCCAGGCCTACAACAAGTCAAAAAGCTGGCCACCCCTGTTTTGCACTTACTGTGGCCCGTCTGGGTTCATTTCTTGCAGCTCAGCATAAATCTTTTGAATTGCCTCTTCAATCACATCTGTGTACTCATCTGGAGAGAGTTCAGGCTCTCTCTTGTCAGCTTCAGCCAAGACTTCATTCACAATCTGAAGCACTTCAGGATGATTAGCATCAATAGGAAGCTCTTCTGGGACAATTTTCTGTGGTTTTTCATCAACACTTTCCTCGTCACCTTCTTCTGTTTGTTTCTCACCTTCAGCTTCTTCGTCCGCATCGCCGTCTTTCTTCTCTGAATTATCTTCATCAACCTGTGTTTGAGGTGGCTCAGGTTCTATGAAAGAGTACACAAAAGCTTAGCTGGAGCAATAAGCTATCCATGATATCTACCACGAAAAAAACAGCCTTAAACTTTAAAAGGAGTATTGTCCAATTCATCAGTATTTTAAATGGTATACGCCACAATAGACCATCTTCACATTACCGTAAACAAAGCCACAAACTCTAGACAATGGGGTGTCAAAATACAGTGATTTGTACGAAACTGTCCAGCCTAACCTCAACCTCAGAAACTAGAAATGGCCTATTAAACTGACTACACTAACCTTTGTCTTGCATCAAAATACAGCCTAATAAAAATCTATTTCCTTGATTAAATCAGGGAAAAGGATGTGTGAAGGAAAAACAGTAGTCGGCACACGCAGCCATTTTTGTCTTGATCATCATGCACACTCCTCCTCAAGCTTCTTGAGAAGGAGCGTTAATTAAGTGACTAAACAAAAACAGCTGCAAAGGAGACCAGTAACAAAACAGTTGAAAAATAACTCACTCTCTTCTTCCTCTGTGGCTTCAAACTGCTGACTTTGCTTTGCTGCAGTTATTTTGGAGATGGCTGATTCAACTGTCTCATCTCGTATCTCATCCAACATTTTCTTCTTGGCTGCTTCTCTCCGAGGCTTGATTAACTCATCAATATCTAAGATCTGCAAAAGTGGGAAACCACAAGTCAAAACTTGTCACTTTATAACAGTTTTGTGAATAAATTTAAATAAAAAAAACCCAGTTTATTCCTAAAAGTGCAAGTGTTGTGAAGGTCAATTCTTGCCTTGATTATGCAGTTAACTCCAATGCTTCTTTTTGTTAACAAACTGTGCTACATGTAAATGACTTATTCAACTCATCAAAATTCTGCAGGTTCATAAAATCAATTGTGATATGCACATAATAATCCTTTAACTTTAGATGAAATCATAAATTAATTTATATTTACAGTGCACTGTACATGTAACTACGGATGGTACAAATTCAAACTTATATTACCTTTGCATTGTATCTCTCTGCCAGTGCATGAGCCACTATTGTCTTCCCAGAGTGTGGTGGACCCAAAACACACACTTTACAGGGTGGGCGGGGCAAATGAGGGGCTAGATAGGGGCGAGGATTTCGCATGAAGTGTGCCAGGGCCTCATTTGATGACATCACATAAAGCTTGTCCAAGAAACTGGAAATTAGACAGATTTAATATCAATTAAATGTTGAAATACCAGTATGTAGGATAACATTACTTAAAATCCAGATTCCAATTCTTGAATCCAAATACTTGATTCTGTAAAATAGAAGCAAACCAGCTGTACACCTTCCTTTCATCTTCTTTTTTCTCCATTAAAAATTGACTTCATAATTATCAAGCCATTGAACTTTTTTGTTGTTTGTTTTTGTTAACCTTTTGGTGAGTTTGGAAAGTCATGGAGTATTTCAACAACAGTTATCCATTTTTCATTACAACATAAAACCCCCAACCCCTCCCCAATGCTCCAAAACTACATGTAACTACTCCATAAGATTAGATCCCAGAGTTCATTTGTTGGACAGGTACAGTTTTTTATATTTATTATGTTGTTGTATTCATCTACCTGACAGAAAACTGTGCATTTCCTTGCATAATATTTCCCTCCCTCAGTGCCACTGGGCATGCACGGCCCCATTTGCTGCGTCGCCAGCGGAACTTGGGTGCCACCATTTCTGTTGCTGCTAGTGTTCGAAGAAGGTCATCAGTCTCAGTGTCATCAGATATCTCCTCACCCTCCTCTCCTCCTTGGAGACGTAAAGGGACAAGGGCGTGGTTCAACTTGAAAGTGTTTAGTTTCATCATCAAGGACTATAATAAAAGAAAATTGTTTCAAACTTTGATAATGGAACAATGTAATTTGTACTGTGGGTTCACTGAGTTGATATGGTACCTTAGACTAACTTGTGGCTAGTGCACATATTGGATCAGCACCTACCCCTCCCCTAGCCCAATATTTTGACCTACGTGAGAAATAAGATTGCGTTAGGGGAGAAGTAGTTAGAAGTTTTTAAAATTTTTTGTAACTAACGAAGACATTAAACACAAACCAAAACAATTTAAAATGCATTGAGACCTTCCATAATAAAAACTGCAAATACCGTATGGCAAAAAGAAGGAAGTAAAAGATAACTCACTTTAAAAACTACTTTTGGACTCTCATTCGCATCAAGCTCTATTAGCCGTTGTTGATCATGATCAGCCATGTAGTCCTACAGTTATAGAAGATGAACAATTTAAGCTAAAAATAAACATAAAGTTTGTTCATGCAGTAACATCTACAAAAAAAACATGTAACCTACAAAAATTTAGTGTTTTTCAAAAAATAATAAGCTACTGTGGTGATGGGTGGAAGAGATCTCAGAAATGTTAAATGTACATGTAAGTGCACTTTAGATGTGACGGCCCTGTGCATGCATGAAAATCTTGACTTCCCTGTGCAACAGTTCAATCTCTATATCATGTTAACGAGAAAGAACATCCATGGCATTCATTGTAAATGACATGTCATGTATATACACACTATACAACATGGAAATACCTCTAAGGTCCTCAGCATCATATCGCGAAACTTCTTTATGCTTGCAGCGACATTCTGGGGAAGGTCTTCTGGTCTGGTGACAAGCCTTGCAACAAGTTCTGGTGTTATCTCCTCACGTTCTTCCTCCTCCTTTGAAAAAAAGTCATATGACAGATTTGACGTTTCGTAGTCTAGCTAATTATACACTTCCGCTCAAAAGTAAGTTGGAACTCTTGACTTGAGACTCGATTCTCACATCTCAAAACTCACTTTCTTTGAGTTTCGAGAAACTTGCATTTTTGAATATTCACCACTCAAAAGGGTTTCTTTTCTTCTTCTTCTTGGCCTACTTGCCCAAATTTAGCACTGTGGGCAAATTGTCTCGAGATACTAGTACCACTTTGCTCTGATCACTCCATACAAATCCTTCTAAATTTGACTTGGTTCCAAATGTTATGAACTGGGTCAAAATTAGAAGGACTTGTATGGAGTCATCTCAAAGCATAACTGGACTAATATCTCAAGGACAATTTGCCCTGGAAGGCTAATTTTTGGCAAGTAGGCCTTTGGGATGTTGTTCTTTCATAATACCCTGAAAAATCCCATAATTTTAAAAATTTAACTTTTAAAGACGTCACACTGAAGGACTTTATTTGAAAAATTAATATGATCTTGAAGTTTATCATAGCAGCCGTGAATCTTTTTCGAAAACTGTAATTTATTTTTGCAAGCCACTTAAAAAGAAAACTACAAAATGTCTAAGAAAATTAGAAAGCAAAGTTAAAGCTAAAAAAGGAAATAAGAAATCTCTGAGTGTGCCTATTTATAGTGAGTAGAAAATGCTAACATGCAAGGAAAAATTTGCACATGTCACGTGTAATTTGAAACCTCTTGCTTCAACACGCAATTCACAACTTTATATATATCATGACGAGATTCATACGACTTTGAAATTCACCACAGGGAGGAAGTTTCAATTTCCGGTGTCCTTGTAAAAACCTAATTAGGATTCAATTAATAGCCACTAATCTGTCATGACTTGTGTACTTTGCGTCACTGATGGAAGACGAGCTGAGACGAAAGACAGATACTATTATTTTGTATCACAATGCGATCTCGCGCGAAATTCAAAGCCGGCATGAAAGTGGCGCGTTCGTCGGGAAAAGCATCTTCAGTCTTTGGACCCTCGCTTGCCAAACAAAGGTAATCTCGTACGCAGTATCAGTGACCAAATGGTTTTACCAATGAACATAATTCATGGCAAGTCAAAATTTTATGCTTTTTATGTAGAGATGATGTTTGGAAGTGGCAATGCCGATTATTTATAGCTATTTATGATTTGGTCGATAGTACAGATAGTACTGGTGCTCGAGTCAACCCATCAAGGTTTGGTTTTTCAAAGAGGAAAGATCATGCTGTTGTGGTTTCAACCTTAGCACGAGCCTTTAACTTGCGCCGATGAAATGCAGACGAAAGTGGGTTTAAAGCGATCAAAGAAGGACTAAATTGCAGCTACTAGAAAATATAGCGGGAAGCGGTGAGAGAAGTCAGAGAAAGCGTTTCGTCGTGCGGAGAAGATCTCGAAAAGGTACTTGGTCGTGGATTAATGAATTGGGGAAATTAAAATGAGGGATTCATTCGAGAAGCAATATCGTACGATTTCCTGACTGTGGCAGATGACCGTCAAGTCAGAAACTCGGGCATTCACGCCGTTGTTGATTATGTAAGCTTAAATGATTTTTATTAAGGGTCGCTGACTGGATTTAGCCTGAACGGTGATGCTCTCCAGTCCTTTTCAATTTTCTAAACATCGGCCGAAACTTGGTAAGTCTATTTGGGTTCCTTTGTATCATCTTCAAATGGATACCTATTATTATTTTGGCTCAAAAACGTTTTAAGGTCGACACTGATCACTCGATCATTTCGTAAATTCTCAATAACTGCTAATGATGTGAAAGTGTAATGTTCATGGAGAATGTCGATGGAGATCACTATTTCTTAAGCCTGATCGTAAACGAGTCAGAGTTCAGTTTTTAAGTGTGGATCGTAGTGGATATTTTCAATTTTATCGAATCCGTTTTAAGAAAACCGGAAAATTTATTTTGCGAAAGCCAGTGGCTATCAACAGTCGGTAAAAGTGAGTAAAATTTCATAAACCAAAAATTGATTTACAGATTAAAGCTTCATTTAATTTTGCACTGATTAGATCTGTGAAGATGATAGTGCATGCCCCACATTAAGTAAAACAGTTTGGCCTTCCTGATGCAACAGAGCAGCTTAGCCTTTTTAGGCTGTGGCTCTGTGAGAATTTTATTCTCCAGGTGTCTCAGAGGGAACTAAAAACTGGCTTTTAGATATTGTTTGAATCTCTGTCCAGCATTAAGGAAAAACGTTAGGCCTTCCTGATGCAACAGAGCAGCTTAGCCTTTTTAGGCTGTGGCTCTGTGAGAATTTTATTCTCCGGGTGTCTCAGAGGGAACTAAAAACTGGCTTTTAGATATTGTTTGAATCTCTGTCCAGTATTAAGAAAAAAAGTTTGGCCTTCCTGATGCAACAGAGCAGTTTAGCCTTTTTAGGCTGTGGCTCTGTGAGAATTGTATTCTCCGGGTGTCTCAGAGGGAACTAAAAACTGGCTTTTAGATATTGTTTGAATCTCTGTCCAGCATTAAGGAAAAAAGTTTGGCCTTCCTGATGCAACAGAGCAGCTTAGCCTTTTTAGGCTGTGGCTCTGTGAGAATTTTATTCTCCGGGTGTCTCAGAGGGAACTAAAAACTGGCTTTTAGATATTGTTTGAATCTCTGTCCAGCATTAAGAAAAAAAGTTTGGCCTTCCTGATTCAACAGAGCAGCTTAGCCTTTTTAGGCTGTGGCTCTGTGAGAATTTTATTCTCCGGGTGTCTCAGAGGGAACTAAAAACGCGCTTTTAGATATTGTTTGAATCTCTGACCAGCAATAAGACAAAAAGTTTGGCCTTCCTGATTCAACAGAGCAGCTTAGCCTTTTCAGGCTGTGGCTCTGTGAGAATTTTATTTAGTGTTCCGCTTACGTTTGTGTTTAACCCCATCCAGATCCAGTGAGGCCTTTAAAACAGCGCGTCAATTTTAAAAGTTTTTTCATAAGGCAGTTTCCGTTTAGCGCTTAGTGTTAGTTCTGCCCTTGAATGAAGTTTCCATTAAAAAAGCCTTGCGTTCAGACATAAAATTAGGGAGTTCTTGTAAGCATGAATTGAAATATATGAAATGCGGATGAAGGTATGAAAGTGACCATGATCATCGCATTAAATTCGCAGCCTATTCGGTTGAAAAATAATCTGAAATATTTTGCAGTGTTATCGCAGAAAGTTAGAGGTAATATCATTCATTGTTGGGGAAAATACTCCGCGGCTTTAAATTAATAATTTCCTCGATGTTTTAATTCCGGTAGTGTAGTAACCTTTCCGTTAAGGCAGCTTCTAAAACGCACTCGAGAAAACCGCACAGTGTCTGTTTACTCTCACTTTCACTTGCGAGAGAGGCAAAAAGAAAATAGAGTGACATTACTTTCAAGCCATTACGTGTTTCCTTAGGCCGCGGTTTCAGAAATCATTGGGCCTCCAGGCCTCTTTCTTGGTGGGTTAGTTTAAGAAAATAAGTGCTTTAGTTTTCCAGTCTGCCTTATATGCTGTATTGAAATTATTCACGATAAATGGGGTTTGATAAAAGCGTTGGTTAAACAGAAAAGGGCTTAATTATGACGCGATTTTGTAATATACCAGTTAAATAACTGGCGCTTAGTGTTTAATAAATACAAGTAAACAAAATATACAATGGAAAATTCCCCAGTAAGAAGTGCGTAAAATCACTCTTCTCGAAGTACAATAAATTTTAAGAGAAGCCACTACAGAGGCAAATGCATTCCGGTTCGGCAGAAAGACTTCCAATGCGGTTAATTTGTAGTTGAGTTTTTTGTTGAACCGAAATCTTGTTGACGTACAGGAATTCCGTTGATATGAGAATTTGTCACCTCCAAGCAAATGAGCCGTAAAAAGTTGATTACTTCTACAGAGCTCCCCTGCTGATGTTCGCCTATTGAATAGGCGAACATCAGCAGGGGTCTATGATTTCAGATCTCTATGAATCTCGTCATGACAACAGCAACGTAATATTCCTAAAGCAAAAGTCATGATTTCTGAAGGATTGTCCAAGATTATTTCGTTTATGGTCATTTTTAGACAAGAAACTTGCAACTGCACTGCAGCGGCATTACTTTACAAGGCATTCCTGCTTGTTTAATTACTTTTCATCGTTAGTACATGTAATTTTTAGCCAAGGACAAACAAAGAAAAGTTTACGTTTCTGTCTCAAAGGTGCAGAACAAGTGGGGAATTTTAATTGCTAGCCATTTGACTTGTCCTTTGTATGCAGATACATTACGAAAGTGTAAATTTTGTTTGATCACAGAAGTAAGCAAGGATTGCAAAAGCTGTTCACATATACTTCACAAATCTTCAAACAGAGAGCAGTATGTTTGATGAATTTAATTGTTCCTCAAGAGATCAGTCAAGTGACAAGCTCATTATATTTCTTGACTCGACTCTTGATTCTTGAGATCAAGACTTGATTGACTGTCAACCCACTTGTGAGCGGCACTATAAGCACCAGTTTTATATACACCTGTGAAAACCACCCTCCACTTTACTTTAAGAACCATTCAACCAGTTGACAAAAATCATGGGTTCTTAGAATCGGCTTAACTGCGATGATCTTCTTTGTATTTATTTCCTCATTCTGCTGTACAAAAAACCAGTTTCCATATATGAAATTCATATAAAGTCAGCTTCATTACATTAAATACTTCACTACAGTACCTCCTCTTCTTCCTCAATCATTTCCTCTTCAGCTTCCTCTTCTTCTTCCTCCTCTTCATCTTCTTCATCTTTGTCTTTCTCTTCGTTTGTTGCCATGTCAGGTGCATATTCACTTTTTGTGTACAGGATATCAGTTAGGGGATCTACTCGTTGTTCACAGCGCCGCTTCTCCAAATCTTTGTCAGGAATCTGGTTAGAGATATGGTATGCAAAGTTCATTTAGTAAGTTGAAAGCAACATAATGTATTTGAGGCAGGGCAAGATAATATGAGAAGCAACATGGTGAAAACACATTTTTATTGATATAATTGACAGGCACAATGCAAGAATGACACCTTCAATTTTTGGTGCTTTTTGAAAGTATCCACTGGGTGATTAGTGTTGGGAATAATTCTGGAAGAGCTTCAATCAAACTAGGCTCGATTTCCGTTGTCTCCCAGGTTGGGTATTTGATCCTCCCCTCTTTCCAGAGGATGATCATGAGTGCGGCCTCATTTTCCTGAACAATGGCTGGTAATCGAGCCTACAATCGAACACACCCTCAGTCTCCCTATGTTCAAATACCATTTGCCCCATCTCCACACATGCAAGAGTTTGCTCCCAGGTTACCACTCTGTTTACTAGCTGGGGGTTGTTCTTTGTGACTCCAAGTCCCTATCTGTGGATCAAAACGTACTTTCTAGGTAAGGATGGCAATCTAAATTGCTGGTACCCACCTTAAGATTGATGATAAAATCTGGTGTGAGAGGAAGATTCTTCACAAGGTCAAGTTGATCAGCCATTGACAGCCAGTCCTCACATAAAGAAGGAAACCCATCCAGTACATACCCTAGAATAACATTGTACACATATCACATGCAAAGTATTGATAGCTAAGAGTGACGGTTAAAATGAAACTTTTTGCTGTACTCTAGAAAGAAAAAATTCAAAGGATCCCATCTTTTCCAGGGTGTCCAGCATATGATTTCAATGAAAAAACTAAGATTTTCTGGTTGCCCAGGAATAAAAGCTAGGTGTGATGAGAGGCCACCTGGTGATGGTACAATATAGCGCACACCCTTATTTGCATAAAATTATCCATTTTTTCTTCACTAATTTTTACAAAGTGAAAGTGAAGGGTTTTAATTTCTATTATTGTTACAGTGAGAGCTCTCCTAACGGAAACCCTCATTAGCAGACAGCTCTACGCAAGAACATGCACCAACACAAAACTCTGTTTTTCTCAACTCCCATACAAGCTCTTTATTTTTATATTCCCATTAGCAGCCAGCTCCTGTTACAGACACCTTTTTTGTGTCCCAATGGTGTCTGCTAACGAGAACTTCCATTATACAAGTATTAAGTAGTGAAAGGGTGAATTTTTGAATGCGGCAAACCAGAAAGTTTTACTCACCATGATGGGCCACTTCTGGGGAACTGATTTTATCCAGCAAAACTTTGGCACACACTTCTTCAGGAATTGCTTCACCTCTGAGCAAAATTTCCTGTGCATTTCCACCAAGCTCGGTCTGCAGTTCAATTCCTTGATTTATTATTTCTGAGCCTGTGTGAAAAAAAAAAGATTCAGTTCATGCATGAACATGGATGTCGACTTGATGGTAATCTAGCTGAGGGACAAGTGGGTACTTAATAAAACAAAATATGAACTAATATTAGACACTTGATTGAGATTCTGTTGTTCAAAGTAAATTTGTGAAAATATTGTCTTTCATAAGTAAGTTGAGTACGATTGTCTGGGTGAACGTATAGTCCTGAAGAGGACTGTTGTTGTTGACAGTGCAGTGACTGACATTTCGACAATCTGTGCTGTAGTCATCTTCATCTTCGGCTCAAACCTTTCACAATTTTGTCGTTCTCAGGTTGAACCAATAACGAGAAATGGGTCACTTTAAAGAGGTTCGACTGTACTTAGTATAATGTACATTTATGCTGACATCATCTACATGTGTGTAAAGCTAAGGACCAGTTTGAAAGCCCACTTAATCAGGGCAGAAATTAAACTGTTGATTGAAAGGCCATGCATATTTTGCAGCATTTTAGGGGCTAAGTTTACTGTTTTGTTCTTCAGCAAACATTCTTTTGAAAAATATCTTTTTATGCATAACTAGATGGAATTGATAGGAGGACAATAACTGTGAGGGATGGTAAATTATATCTTAATACTTGATAGCTTAACCCTTAAGGTCCCAGTTTCCACACATGTACATTATTGTACAATTTCACTAAACTATTCTAATACATTTTTAAGATGTTATACCTAAGTTGGGAGAATCCTGTTCAAGATCTTAGCAACTTCTATTTTCTGACCATTTTACTAATTCTCATTGCATTTTCTCTTGATTAAGTATTGAAACTGTTAGGAGAAATGTGATGACTGTCTCTCCTGGGACTTAAAAGGTAATCTGAGCTGGGCAAGACATCTAACACCAGTTGTTCGGGATAAATTGTCTATCCACTGGATAATGTATTGATTTCCCTGATACTTTATCCACTGTTGAACTATCAGCACCTGTTGTTTGATTCCTCTGAAGTTTTTAAAATTTGTGTGCTGCACTCTACGTTCTACAAAGCTAGACATCTGAATCTTTTATGCTTGAGATGTCTTAGGCAGTCTAAATACAGCCATACGCTTATAAACAAGTAATTTGACATTCGAATTCCTGCCGCATACTGTCCAGAGTAAAGTGAGGGCAGTACTATAATAGTTACTTGTAATGGCCATGTAACTCAATAGTAGTTAACAGTGGATTTACAATGTCAAACTTTTGCTGATTTTCACTGATGAATCAAATTTGTTGAGATAAAAGCTTACGACAAATTTTAACTGTACCTAAAGATACATGGTTGGCTTTGCCATGTTCTTGATATGGTAAGGAGAATTAAGATGTTAATATAAACTCCTTGAAATACTCACCATTTATGAGCTCGCACTTCCATACCCTGGCTAACTTCTTTGCAAGTGTTGTTTTCCCTGATCCCTGAATTTTTGGTGGAAGAAAGGAATTTGTGATACTAGGTTAAAAATCTTTAATCACAAAAATATATAACTTTGTAAGCTTACTGGTTTAATTTGATTAATCAATCGAGGAACTGTATGATTTATTTACTTACTGGCTTCCCAATGACAACAAAACATGTTGGCTTGGAGTTAAGAAATCGCCTTTCCGCCTAAAAAAGTCAACCAGTCTCACAGATCAGTAAAAGTATTAAGCTTTAAAGTTAATTATCAGAGAAGTTTTAATAATCGCGTTCTGTTCAGAGCTGCGCTAGGATCAGATCATTGGAGAATCTTCAATTTTAAACTACAGTATATTTCAACAAAAACTGGCAACTTTTTTATATTTAGTAGTCAAGCTGAAGCTTTAGGACCCCAAACATATATTTTTATTCCTTACATTTGATTTTTGAGCATGAAGCCACAGCGGATTAAACCCACAAGAAGCAAGGAAGCAAGCTTAAGATTAAAGCTTACAGTTCTAATGACACTGTGATCATGAAGGACAGCAAATATCTTGGCAACTCTCGTTCTGAGATCCCCGAAAAATCAAGCATTTTTTCCTTCCAACCTTTGTCAACATGCTTTGCTTTCGCTTGATAATAAGCAAGGCATGTGTGCATCAAAAACACAAACGACAGTTATTATACAAAAGGCTGTTTTTGTTTTGCTCCGATCTTTAGTGCTAGCAAAACCAACATGTCGGCTCGTGGATTTTACTCAGATTATGGCGCCAAATTCTTATCTTACCTTATCTTCATTGAACGGATCTTCTTCGGCGATATTTGTGGTAGGTGATGAACTATCTTCAACCATTACTAAGTTTTTTCACAAGGAATATAGTTGGAAGTCTTTTCACGTGTAAAGTCGATGTTCATTTCAGCGCTCGACTTTGGGCCTTTCTGATTTTCTAGCATTTTGCACAGCTGTCATGGAAACGGACGTGTTTACTGTCAAACCGGCAGGAGTCTGGGACTTTCATCGTCACGCAACACTCTATTGCGTTGCGTGATGACTTGAAACGGCTATGAACCAAATGCAAAAGTTTTGCCGTCTTTTTCTCTCAACTTATTATTGATTGTTTTAATTTCAAAAGTGTATTTCTTTCAAAACAAAACGAAGACCATGGTTACTTAACCGCTTACAAAAAGGACACAAGTGAGGAAACATTCAAATATACCATCCCGCATACCTCACCTTCAAAAAGGAACTGTTTGAATGCAAAGGTCCACGTAACGCGTAAATAAAACAGACTGGTTCCTCTTGCCGGATCTCTAATAAAGGAGAATTCATAGCCACTTAACGTGTAAAATGAAATAGACGGAATGTAGGGCTGGCACTACGGCAAAGGGCCAGGAGCCCAGGGCTGATTTATTTTAGGCCGATATTTCGGCTAACAAAATTTGCCTTCATCAGCTCTGGTCCTGAGGGAGGCTTATTTTGTTGGCCGAAATATTGGCCTAAAATAAATCAGTCCTCACCTTTAACTAGCCACCAGGATACGTTACTTTTGCACCTTCTTTGCTCTTTCCCGAAAAACGCCCTAATTGAATTTTTTTTTTTGCCTCTATGTCCTCTATCTAGCCAAAAGCAAGCTAACTGATCACGTCTCTTGAAGACGCCCCAGGGGCGGATCCAGGATTTTTTTTAGGAGGGGGTGCACTCGTCTCTTGCTCTACTTCAACACCAATAAACCACATAGTTTTGTTTTTTTTTTTTTGCAGAATACCAGTTTTATTAGAAAACCGCAGGTCATCTCGGGGGGGCACCGCACACCCTCCCCTAGAAGACGCCCGTAGACGTTATTACTCCTTCTTTAAAAGCTCCGTTCAATTTATCGCATTTTTTTCTTCGGACCACTTGGAATAATAAGGTCTTATATATCGGAACTAGGCAATGAATGTGTAAAAGGATAAGAACGCAGAAATCTGCTGTATTACGAAAACATCTAACGGGCCCCTATTTCATTTTATTTATCAGGGGCAGTAAATACAATATAAAGACTAGGCGTTTTCACAGAAAGTTTAGAGCTTATTATGCGGTGAAAACAAGATGTGTAATAACAGAAACTCGAAAGGTTGTACGAGTTTTTGGAAAAAATAAACTTTCGGAAAGGATATATACCCTACGCGACGGGCATGCATGGCAACCTACGATCAAGTTATTTTACGACGAGGGGAGAAGAGAGACATAAAGGGAGAGAGCGTGGCTGCGGAGCATAGATTGGAGACTAAAGAAAGTGGCCGTTGTAGAGAGCTTTTAAACAAGAGTCATTGTAAGGATTTTCTGTCCGTCGAGACGAAAAAAAGTGATCGTTGTACTAGAGAGGTGGCCTATGGCAGAGGTTCGACGGCATCGATTCATTATCATCTAACGGTATTCTGTAAACGATCTGATGAAACTGAGTATGAGGTAGTTGTTGCTTTCATAACAACGAATAAACAGCACTTCTTTATTCAGATTCAATTATAATCCACCTTTCATTACATTGCACTGATTATTGTATTATTTCAATTAATGTAGGGAGGTGCATAATAAGTCTACGATAGTCTAGCCGGCTACTTTATATCTTATAATTAAGACTAAACTCAAACAAAATTCAAATTTAGTGAAAAAAATACTGATAACGCTTCCCCAGCGAAGATTATTGAGATTATTGACGCTGTGCACACAGTACGAGGGCATAAGGGTGCTTGCCGGTATCTGACATGCTGCTGCTGGCAAATCTTATCGATCTTCCAATTTCCAGCTCGTTAGTTGCGCGAATAAGCACCCCATTATTGGGGACACCACTTCTCCATTGCCGTACTGCGCATGTGATGTCAAATTCCACATAACCTCGCGGACGGGCGGGAAAGATTGTGACCGTCTCTGGCTGTGGTTGGGCCTCTGCATCGGTGTTATCCAGACCCAGGTAAGAACTGGACCACCAATGAGTGTTGTCTCTCTTCGTGGAAGTGGCTTGAGCTGCGTTCCAAGATCTCTTCACCAGGTGCACCTAAAACCCATAACAGATCTTTTTAACGATAAGGCGGCCATGTTGTATCAATTTGATTTAAGGAGTATTATGGGATGCCCAGGGGGAACTCGCTCAGTATTTACGCGCGCTTTTCGGGCCAATTTTTCGTTAAAGTTTCCTAGAAAATGATCCTCATGGGAAAAAAGGTCGTTGTGCCGTGTTTAAATGTAATAATGATTGCCTTTTCCCCGAGAAATATACAGTGAAGTTCTCTTTTTGTCCGATCGAAAAGCGCGCGTAAATACCGAGCGAGTGCCCCTGGGCATCCCATAATACTCCTTGAATCTAATAAATTAAATATGGCCGCCATATCGGTAAAAAGGTCTATTGGATTATGGTCATTATTCATAAAAAATATTAAAATGATCTTATCATCAGCTGCAATCACACCTAAGTTGTGAGTGTAACTAAGAGTTAGTGAATTTCGGCTGACAAAGGGCGTAGCTGGGAGAGAGGATTTCCCATGTAACATTTGGATCTACCCTTTATCAGGGGCACCCAACGACAATTTTCGGTAAATATCTGTTCGGAAGACGATTTGAGATCTAGAATTTTCGGAACATTTTTTGTAAAATTTCTTGCTTGCCTGCCTCTCCTAGGATTTTCGAACATCTAAAAAAGGGTATAATTGCCCAATTTTAACGGATTTTTACCCTAAAAATATCTGAACGTTCGGGAGTCTTTTTTCTGGCTGAAATGATCGAAAAGGTAAGTTTTGGATCACTCGACTTTCAGCTAGAATATCCGAACAGATGAAAAATTTTTAGGGGATAAAAATATGTCATTTTTGCTTAACAATGAAGTGGGAACAATAGTGCTTTATTGATAAAAGATAGTGATAAATTATTGAAACAAGCTAGCAAATCTAAAGAAAACAAGCAATTGAATAAATATAATATTTTGTTTGACCTCTGTACGTTTTTTGTCTTTGACGCGATTTAAAAAAAAAAACGAACAAAAAAACGAACAAAAAAGCAAAAAGCACAAGATGAATAGAAATTGATTTTTAGGACTACCTTTACGGTATAACTTTGACACTGTTTACCTTGACTATTGCTCCAGTCGCTAAGACCCCAGAGTAGTCAATCCATAAAAATCGGTATCGATTTGTCGAACGATAAACTGATAAAAATCGGTAAATCGACGTCTGATTTAATCGATATCGACTGTATCGATCAATCAGCAGAAATCGACGACACACTCGTTTCATTCATCGATTTATCTCCATTTTTAACGATTTCATTCGGAAGATACATCTGTTCACCTGTTCACCTGTTCATCAAAAAATGAACCTGAACAGGAGCCAATGATGGGCTCCTGACCTGAATTCATGTAAACAGTGAATTTATTGACAATTGAGTTGCAATTGAGAGTCAAAGGATCGAACATTTATTGCTTTTTAAAGAAATTTTTTTAAAAATCGTATATTTTTAAAACTATAGGCTTGAAATCTTCATGGCTAACATTGGCCAGGTTTTTAGGCGCCCAGTAGGGCGGGTAGGAGAGAACCCGTGGGAACGAGGTTGATAGGAACAGAACATTAAAAGAACAACGTTTTGTTGATGATTAAATGTGACTTGAGGAGAATCATTTGTTTTGTCCAAGCTAAAATCAATTAGCATTGATTTATAGTTTCGTGAATTAGCGGATTGAATCTGTACAACTATAGCAGATCTCTTTTATACAGCTTTTTTCGAGAAAGGGTGTCGGGAAAAAATGTACACGCGACAATCTCGAAAGATATGGGATATGCTCGATACACTGTTTATATATGACACTGTAGCTTTCAAACTTACTTTCGTTGCTTTCCTTTAACACTCGCAAACATACGTCCATGGCCTCTCGAGCCATTCTTTCAAATATCTTTAAAGAAAAGTGAACTGAAAACCACCCACAATACCTTTCGGTATTGTCGCGTGCACTTTTTCCGACGACCTTTCTCGAAATAGCTGAGACTTATAGCGGCACCTGTATAAAGCGAGGGATAAAAGGAGTTCTCTGGATGCTATGCCAGCTCGCTTTGTGAGCATACACGTAGTATAGATACATCTTAGCGGATATGATCTGTAATGGACCGCAGGCATTGGGAAGGTTTTCAAACTGAACCAGAGAACGCTTGTTTTCATACTGAGGGAACTTGGACACCAGGAGGTACTGAAGGTAGTCGAGTTGTTGACTGCTACCTGCCAAGGTGGTATCTTGGGTTACACCAAGTCCGTACACCATACCTCGGCCAGTGTTGTACGTCCAATAAGCTTCCGTCTCCTTGAAAACTATCGCCAGCATTATCACGGTTACCAGACCAAACATCTTCCCTGTTAAATTTTTGATTTTCGCGTTAACCCGGTTTGAAATTTGCAATAAAGGACGCCCAAAGAGTTAAAGCGTTTGAATAAAAGATATTTTCAACAGTTATGCCTCTTGACCTATCTGCAGGAACTTACCGTAGAATTGATTAAGGAATTAACAAAACAGCGTCAGTACGTAATCGAAGGTAGCTTTCGGTCACAAGTCGAAGGTCTAGATGACGAGGACAATGATAATGCATACAGTTATGTAAAACTGCTAATCAAATTTGATAAATTTGTGTGTGTTGCGAACTAATCGCATAAGATAATGAAAAGCTTAAGTTAGTTACTCCAGTTCTTTGACACGTGATTGCAACTTTAACATGCACCACAATTTTAGTAAGGTAAATAGATGGTCTATTATATCAATAGAAGCTACTAAGTAGTATGTTTTTGTGATGCTGGAAATTATGCTACACAATTAATTAAGGACTCGGAGTCGCAAGAGGGCTATGACTTTCATGTATACGTAAAAGAGGCGGGAATTTAAAGAGTGTAGATTGCACCCAAAAAATTGCATATTCTGGCATCGATCCCTAAAGGTGTTCATTGTTAAAGGCCAACTTTCCCAAAAAGGTAACGTTTAACGCTGTGCGTTAAAAAAAAGTGAAAAACTGACGAAAAACGTATCAATGAATAAAAACTGTGTTTAAAGAAAGACGTATTCATGACAAGGTATTTATCGCACTGACAAGAAAATCACTATACCTTTACTTGGTTCTCTGTTGAGCAGAGCGGAATCGTTTAGGCCAAGGGGTCAAATAATGCTTTTAGAGCTACGTATTAGATATTATGGAGATTTGGGTAAAATCTCAAAAGCAGATCAAAAGGTTAAAGCCGGCATGGTTCCTTGGATTGTGTTCCTGTGCTGCTGAAGCAGGGGCACCCAACGACTGTTTTCTGCAAATATATCTGTTCGGAAAAGCAAATATTGCCTGGAATTTTCTATTACTTGAGGAAGGATAAAAATTTCTAGAGACCATGTTCCATTTATGAGCAATTTCGGAACCTTATCTAATAAATTTTTCTACGATTTTCTCAAGTTTGATTTTTTACATTTCACTCCCCAGGATAGACATTTTTTTCGTGGAAAAAAGAAAACCTAAAATTGTCGAATCAAAAATTATCAAAAATGTGATAGAAAGAGGAATCAGGAAAATTCTCACTTTAAAACGAGTTACTGATTTCACCTAAAATTTTCGGGAAATTAGCACTGAAGCCCGGCCGCTTGTAATTTCGAATGGACTCAAGTTGCCCGGCATGACCGAACTGATACAAAATTTATAGCTAGCGCCGCTAACAATGCACTTCTGGAGATTGAAAAGTACTCTGGACGCAAACATGCAGATGGTACTCTAAACACAAACTAAACGCTCTTTTAAAAATGTATAACCCAATAAAAAAGAGAAATGACTAGAAATAGTGACATACCAAATCTGCTCTTGGTTAGCTTCAAAGCCGACCCTGATCATGCGGTGAGATCTAGAGCGCAAATGAGCTAAACTAGTTTGTTATTGCCAATATACTTGTTCAGTGATGACATATCCTGTAAATAAAGAAAACGAAAGGCCTAAATCATGCCAACTGTACTTTTTGCCAAGACTGAACACATGCATGCTGAAATACTGTAGCCTTAAGCCCGGCAAAACTCTGTAAAAAGTAAGTAATCGAAGACATTATTGGCTTCTGGATTCCACGTCGTTTGGCCTCGGTGGATGACACCCTCCTCGATCACGGATTCCGGTTTCTAGGTGCTGGAGTCCAGTCTTTGTCATGCAGTGGAACAGGGATTCTAGATTTCAATCGCTAGTGGGACTCCTTATTCCTTAAACGGTATTCCGGATTCCAAAGTTCAGGATTTCGGATTCCACGAGCAAAATTTTCCGGATCCCCGAATTTCCCGGACTCCGGAATCCGGATTCCCCTATATGGAGTGATAATTAAGTCGCTGAGACACATGACCTGTGATGAGATGATTCATGTTAGCACCCAGAAACATTTGACCCACATTTGGGAGCAACGACCATGGCAGCGTCAACGAGAACGGCAAAAAAACAATAGGCTTAGTTTGGCAAAACAACAACTCTGCTCGTGCACGCTTTTTTGTACATTTCTTCGCCATCACTGCACGACTACGACGTGAAAATACCTAATTTCACTTCTGCGGAGGACGTAAAGGCAGGACAAAGACTTTGTTTTCTTTTCTTGAACTTCGATACAGTCTTTTAGAATTCTCCAGAAAGAAATGCCAACATTTGACGAACTGAACGAGATGGAATCGTATAAGCGCGATAAAGTTTGAAGCAGCGCGGTTTTACTTTTCAAGTGACTTTTTCGATTCGCAGCCGTTGCCGTCGCCGTTTGTATTAAAGAAAAAACAGAAAAAATAATTCCACAACTGAGAAATATGGTGATCTTGATCACATCTGAATAATTGGTCTTTGCCACTGGGTGCATATTTCCTAAAGATGAAAGAGTCAAAGAATAAATGTTCTCTTTATTTACGGTATATTTTAGGTGTTCCTGGTCCTTATAATAAATTATGCGTTGTTGGGGTGAGGTAAAAAGCTTAAAAGCTCAAAGTGTTGGTGAGGTCAGTGCGTACTAGTCATGCGTGCAATTTTAAGGATATCTGGAAATGAAACTTCCAGGCCTACGACTAGTCCAAAAGCTGACTACGACCCTGAAATGTTACAAAGCCCCATCAAGGCCGGGCTTAAACAGGCACTAGCATGTAGCAAGGTAACATTGCATTTCAGAATGATATTTCCCAAAAAACCATGCGATTGGAAGTCTTGTCGTGAGGTCGTGAGAAAAGTTAAAAAAATATCGTAAGCTTCGTGACGTGTAAATGCCAGCTCGAGAAGATCGTTCGACTTTGCATCCCTTTTATCTGCACATATCTAGGTTCTGGAACTCTTCAGGGGCATCCGACAATTTTTATCCGGAAGACGATTGTAGAATTTTCGGAAATTTGTTGTAAAACTGTCCTTCTTAGGATTTTATGAACCATAATTGACGGATTTGTACCCTAAAATCTGACCTAGAAAGCCCCTAAAATTTTCGAAAAGGTAAGTTTTGGGCCTATAATTTTCGGATTTTAGCAGAAATCCGAACCAAAATAGGGGATAAACAGCCTATATTACTAGTTTAAATACCAAAATACGTTTAACAATGCTATGTTTAAGTGGTTTCGAACTATATTCTGGTTCAACTAGTAAAATTTCCTAGCCCTTTCATATACTTCAACTAGTAAAATCCCCAGCTACCCTTTCATATTTCTGAAGCGGAGTCTTTTTGTTAGGCACTGTAGGCGAATTAAGTTTTCGCTCGCATAGCGTTCATGTAGTTAGAATCCTTCAAAACTCAAGCGACAATTAAAACTGTTGTGTGACATCTACGTTTAAAACACGTAAATAGAAAATATCCCTCAGGTCCCTTTTAATCCTTTATTAAACACAGTTTTATTTTCCTATATCCTGGTCAATTGTACATTTTGGGAACCGTTCCGATGAAGCATCAACACAGTAGAACTGAACCTCTTCAATTAACTAATTCTAACTTTTCCAAGTGGCAAACAGGAACTTTCGTTCTTTGATCCGTTCAGCGTGCTGATTTCGGCGGTTTCAGTTGCAGCACAGTCAAAGGTAGCCCCGGCCGGCTGCGACGGCTCTCCAAACAGCGCAAAACAGCGCACATCACTTGTTACTAAAATTTTCAATACTCTTCCTGTTTCTTCCTGTTACCTCAGCCAGGGTATACCAGGGAACCGCGGAAAGGGGAAGGGATGGGGGAAGGGATGCTCCACATAGATTTGATTGCAGTAAAACTGTAGTTCTAGATCTCCCTGGATTGTAGGGAAGACGCAAAATGATGTTACATGGAAATTAAAACAGCTAGCGAGGTGGACTATCTGAAAGCCTGGAACAGACTTTGCCAAACTGTCGTTTATATTTCAATTGGATAAATTCTGCTGGCACTAGTAATATGCATAACATTAGCGCGAAAAATTGAAAACTGAGTCGCAAAGAAAGGGAAAAATGCCTTGTGACTTTTTTTGAGCATAAACGAAGGAGCTCCCGTATCCTGATTCTCACTGACAAAAGATTCTTGAACAACGTAAGATGTATACTTCAATTTTGCCATGCATTTTGAGTGTCTGATATAATAGTCTGTTGACAAGCCTATACGCTCTATACTGAGTTCTATCCGAGCAGAAATGAGCGATTTTTTAAGGCCAGCTGGCGGACACATAGGTAACCTGAGATCAGGCCCAATTTTAGCGGTTTTCATACATTCTCTCTATGCCTGCCGGAATAGGTTATTTACAAAGCGAAGCAAAAATTGAGCCTGATCTCAGGTTAACACAGAGGGCGAAAAAAGGGTCACGCAGTTTTCTATGACGTCATTGCAGTATGGGCTAAATGGGGGCCGGTAAGCTGAATGGCGGGAAAAGCGGGGCTACTCTGATCTACTGTATTTTTTTTTAAGCTTATAGTATTGGAAACGGCGAGAGATCTTTCCCTCAGAGAGAAGCTTATTTTTTTAAGAGCTATTATTTTTCATCAGTAAAAATACTACAAACAGCAGTTAAATGTATAAGACAAGAGAGTTCTGAAAGAGATGAAATGTCCTTTATAACTATTCACTTTGGAGGTAAAAATAGCTCGAGTTTGGCTTTGAATTAGTGAGCTTAGGCTTAAGTTCTTATACAAAGTTAGAGCAAGACTACAAATACCGATTTGGTTTTGCCGTTCTTCCTCTTTAATCTCCTGCTATTCGTCTTTGATTTACAGATGACCAGAAACTCTTGTTCAACTTGCTTTGTCCAACGATTTTGTTGTATGAAAACATCAAGCTTCGATGCAAATGCGAGGAAAAAGGTGAGGTTGCTTGCAAAATTCGTCACTTGATTAAGTAAACCTGAGTAAACTCAAGCTTTATTAAAACTTAAGAATCTGCTATTTTTTCAGTATTTTAAAATCCCGTTTATGTATTGAAGGCAAGCATCTTACAGAGCAATCTTTAACAAAGAAAGTTTATACGAGAGAGTAAGTAAGCCTATTTAGAACACGAAAGGACACCTTTTTATAAACTTGCTTTTTTCAGTTGTGATAGACATCGCAGACGAAAACGGCTCGTTAAAAATACTCTCTGAGAGGCCACCTGATCAATATGCATCGGAATATCTTCAGGGGAGAACAAATTACATCCTTCTAAAAGTGTTAAGTAAGTTTGTTTTGAGAAGTTTGAATAAGCTGTTTAATACTGGTTTTAGATATCTGGAAATTGACCTGTTGCTAGCATCCTCAACTTCAGTCTACAGTTTTTTCCTTTTTTTATTGTTTCCTTTGCAACCACAGAAAAGGCTGACAGCTTGACTGGGAAGGAGTATTCCATTTTTGAGCCACTATTGAACAATGTATCAGAACTATATCCCGAGTTAATGTGTAAGTGGATTTTTAACTTAAAAGATGTTAACGTAAATCTCTTATCTTCTGGGAGGCCTCTGTAGGGACCAGTTGTTTGAAGGTGGATTAGCGCTAACCCAGCGTTAACTTTTTATCCGGGGCCCGGTTGTTCAAAGGAGGGTTAAGTTAATTAACCCAGGGTTAGTGCAAAATTTGATTTCAGATATGAAAGCTTAAAAAGCAAATTCAGTTTTACTCTTTTTGTAAACAAGTTAATGATTGGATGCTCTTAAAAATAACAGAGAAAATTAACCGAGAAAATGCTTTTGAACATACGAAAAAGAAACCTGGATTAAATTTAACCCTGGATTAAGCGCTAATCGGGCTTTGAATAACTGAGCCCACAATGGGCCCAGATATGAAAGCTTAAAAAGCAAATTCAGTTTTATTCTTTTTGCCTACAATTTGATGATTGGATACTCCAAAAAGAAGAGAGAAAATTATCTGGGAAAATGCTTTTGAGCAAAAGTTAAACTTAACCCTGGGATAGCACTAATCTGCCTTTGAAGAACTGGGTCCAGGTTTCATGAGTATTTTCACAAAAAGTTTTCTCTATTCTTTTTAGATCGGCCAATCATTACGTGGCAAAGTAAATTTTATGCGGCATTTTTTTCCAAATTGTGGAAATCCCACAAGGCCATACTCTAGAAAAAACCCTGGAGGTCCCTTCCATTATCTTCTCATTTTTTCCCAGTCCATCTATCCTTTGTATCACCTGATTTTATACTACAAAAAGAAATCATTGCTTAAGGGATGCCTATTATGATTGGAAGCTGAATATTTTTCAACATTCAGCAAATTTCTAGCTGCAATGTATTTTAGAAAATGTGTGTCAAAATCTCATAAATTAAAGAAAGACTCAGTTTAAAAAATGTGTGGAGAATAAGTTGAAACACAAAGCACTTAATTGAGCTTCACTCCCTCCTTCATTCACAGCTAAAGTGCACGACAAGAAAATCAACCCTGATGTTAGCCTTCCAGTTCAAAGCTTCATGCTGCCTCATCAGAAAAGTTCATTGCAGACAAGAACCAAATCTATCTCCAGGGGTGGCACTAACCCTAGGTCTCCAGCACAGAGGTCCGGTTCTCTAGTTGGGAACTCATTATTATCAAGTGTTCCAAAAATGAAAAGTTCAGCCAGATTATCAAAATAACTCTAGACAAATTAACTCGCACATTTAAGCTTTTATTTGAAAAGAAAATATGTTAAACAACATGAAAGGTACATGTGCACATTGTTACTAAAATGAGGAACAGGATCAAGCACATTCAACGATCAAGGTTAATCCCAATCTCCAGCTCCTTGGTTTGGAAACAACCATTCACAATTGTGGAGTGTAGACATGATTTCCTTATGGCTCTTAAAGCATATTCAGAGTTGTTTTTTACAGCTAGCTACAGTACACTTTCAGCATTTGTGAAAAATGAGGAGAGCGAAGTAAGGCTACTTCTTTCACAGGAATAAATAACAGATTCCCAATAATGGATATTTTAGGGTATTTAAAGAATACCCACAAAAATCCCAAATTTGGCAAAGTGAGACAAGTCCCAACCAGGGAATTCCCAACCAAGTTCCCTGGTTGGGACTTGTCTCACTCTTCCAAATTTGGGATTTTTGTGGGTATTCTTCAAATACCCTAAAATATCCAAAAATGGGAATCTGTTATTTTTTCCTGTGTTTATCCTATCCTTTTTCAGATTGAGGTATTTTTTCATGTAATATTTTGTTGAAATCACACTCCATGTGACACAATCAAAAATAATAAAGAAGTATTGTGTTCATTAGACAATCTGAGGTTTAACTTTTTTCATCCAAAAATGGTTAATAAAAACATACATGTACTTCTTGACAGCAAACTGCATTTCAATATTAGTCCAACTGAACTCATCCAAAAAAATGCCATCTACCAATGTGAATCTTTGACCACCATTTTTGTTTCACAAAAAATGATTCCTAAAATGATACAATAAATAAGGCTAATCTGTCCACATTCAAAGACTTTTTTTCAAAACAAGAATGAGGGATGTTAATGTTGATAATGTAAGAAGATTTGAATCTTTTACTTAGCATTAAAGCAAAATGACAATAAAAAATGTTTGTGTTACTTAGTGACATCAATAAGGTCTATCTCGTCTTCCCAATCTAGGTGGCTGAATAGCGACATCAATGAAGTCACCTATTTGAAACTTTTTTGACTCTAGCGTAACACTGTCATCAGTGCCTTTGCGTCCTGCTGCAGTGGAACCAATTTCCTTCATAATGAAGCCACCACGCCGAGCATCAGGAAATACAATGGCAAAATCAAACATCGTGCCTTTACGCCTTGCATCAGGATTAACTTCCTTGACAAGGCTCATCAGCTCTTTCAGTGTGGCATCTTTCCTACAATGGAGAATAACCAAAGCTTAAAAATTATGAGGAATTTCATTAAAAGATTCCCAACAATAACTGCAAGGGGTGTATGCATTGATTTCTTCTCATCTCAATTTTTTCAGCAGTGATGAAAAACCATCTCATTATTATAAAAAGTACCAAAATTAATAGTTTGTAAACTGTGATTAGTTGTTGCCTATGGTCTATAGAGCACAAAAGTGTGGTTAGCCATCTTTACAGAAAATCTTCGCTTTAATTTGTCCAAAAAAGAAAACAGCTTCCAAACGCTTCACAGGATTATTTTGGTTTGACAGAGAAGGTCTGAAAGGAAGTTTTACTGGAGCAGTTACAAGTAAGAGACAAAAGCAACTGAAACTAAATGTATTCATTTTGATTTGGAAAATTGCCTAAAAAGAAAAAAATCTTTGAACACAGCTGAGCATTTCAAGGCAGGTTTCCAGATTTTTTGTTTCCATGCCTTGTATGTAATAAATAGATTCCATTTTGTTTGCATCTGTTCCATTACAAGCCATAAAATTATGTTTGGGGTGGCAAGGGTAGTAAGAATATCAAAGACTTTTCGCCAACAGCTTGTGACAGTGTACAACTTTGTTCTTACCATATTTTGATGTCACCTGTAATCTATAACCTAACAGATACAAAGCAAAATGGAATCTATTTACAGTGCATTTATTTACAGACCATGAGTAAATGCAGTTACTGCATCAAGATACCAGGAGTCAAAGATCAAATCTTACCAAGTGTAAACTTGAAGTTCATTTGAAGGTAATGCCGTCCTAGAATATTCATCTATCCTAGTTCAGTGAAGAAATCCAGACGAAATGGAGAGTTAAAATATTTGTATAAACATCTATCACCATTCGCACCAGTAAGTTTCCAAAACAAGCCGACGAGACACCTTGCATCATATTACCCTTACCTGCTAGGAGAATGGAATAAGGACCTTTCATACATTTCCTGTAATTTTACCCTTAGTAACTCAAACCCTTGATAACTCGAACCTCCCTTTAACTCGAAGTAACTTTCTTTTCCTTCAGATCATTTCTATATAATAATAAAGTTATACCCTTGATAACTCAAACCATGTTTCAAGGGTGTGACAAGTTGAAAAAAAAAGACAGTGAACTGAACTCTGAACAATCAAAGCAAGACTTCTTTGTGTCAATTCCCCGGTTCAAATTCAGTGTCCTTTTAAGTATGTTAATCAAGCTTTGTTGCTTGATTCCTTTTTCAAAATAATAATTAATCTATATCTCTTGCTGCCTTTGAAGTGAAGTGTGCATGATATTTTCATTCCCTCCCCAGCCATTTGCATATCTCCTTATTCCCGGTTATTTCCCTAGAAGGCTTGTATTATTTTTCTCCTGTTAAAAAGTCTTGTAAAAAAACTAAAGAAATTACCTGTGATGTCGACCTTGATTACAAAACACTCTTAGAAGCAAGGGACAGGTCTGTAAAGAACGTAACACAAGCAATGTGAGCATCCTTTGTTAATTCAATAACATTTAAGCTTCACTTGAACATTTGTCGGTAAATTCCAGACTTTGCGTTTTCGCAAGTTAGATATATAAAACCTATACCTTTTCCCTGTCGATTGAAACTTTGTTTTCATTGGCCTCTCGTTCCCTTGGGCGTTCTCTTTCTCTTGATCGAGAGCGGTTTCTAACTCCTCTGGCAGGAGATCGAGAAGATCCTCGAGTCCGCGTGTCCGCCATGTTGACAATTGCAGCGTACCTTGGTAACCAAGCCGGAGGATAGGTTTTGGAGGGTAGTATGTCATGTAAGCACGCACAAATACCCCTTGTGTCAGCCTGTGTGGGTTTTGGTGGGCTTCTTTTTAGTTTGTATTGCTGTTCGTAAAGTAAAAGATTCAGCCGCGCGAAAGCTGAACCGAGGACAAAAACGAAAACTATCGGGGAAGAGCCGGGCGAGGGAAGAACGCAGTGAGAAAAACCATCATTTAATTTTTCTTTTTCGACCTTGGTCCAGCTTATGTGAGGCTGTACCTCTTACTTTGCGAACCACAAAATAGAACAACCAAAAAACACCAGCTACGCAGGCTACATGGGTGATCGTGCAGCTGCTAGTAGCAGACAGGGAAGTCAGGGACCAGGCTGTAACTTTATTTCATGAGTAGGTCAGTGCCCCGAGAGAGGTGGGGGTACTCCAGGGAATTGTTGGTTGGGGTGTGCCGCCTGGTCCTCCAAATCCTGTCCCTATTTTAGACCAAAAAAATAATGCCATTTTCCTCTCTCTTATTTTTGGAATTGAAACGACAAATGCATTTATACAATCCGTAGTTCCCTTCATACCCGATTCCAGACCAAAATGGGTAAAGTCTACACCCGTTTTCAGACCCAAACGGCGCAAAAACTATACCCTTCTGGGCGGCACATACCTATAGGGCTTATATAAGAAAGTACCCCAGGGGTCAGGGCCCGAAGGAGGGTCTACTCAATAAATTTTTATGGGCAGGCTCTGTCTAGTTTCCTTTGCAGCCATTCAGCATTGGGTGACAAGACAAAAATGGCCATGAGAGAGACTTAAGCATCCTTGACATCCAACCCCTTAATAAACTTTTATCCCAGACAGTTAGGTACTCCTTCATTTGGCCTAAATGGGTATGTTCTCCTGAAAAGAGAATGATTTTTGCAGTTCTGAGTCAGGGCACTGGGTATACAATTTTGCTATTTTGCATCTTGACCTTATATACACCTAATTACAATAACGTTGTCATAGAAAAAAGCAAAAAGCAAAAAGCCAAATAGGAATTAATTAGCCATGTGATTTACATTTGCGTATTTTAATAATATAACAATTATTTAAGAAGTCAGTCACAATAACAAGAAATAATTCTGTAATTCCGCGCTGTAAGATTCCGCAGATGAAACACTGATGTGTGTAACAAAAGGGTCCTGACAAACGAAGCTTAGTTTGTGGCGCGGGAGAGGGACTGGCTGAGGAACGCCTCACCCTCTCCGCGATGGAAAGTCCTGCGTACGCCCCTGATTTGTTGCTTGAAAATTGTGATCTGATGGTGTGGTGCACTACAAACCATACGCAGACTGGCTTTTCTATTTAGCATTAAACGAAAAGACGCGTCGCGTTCCTGGAATTTACCCTAGGCTATATTTATTGAAAAAAAAAATGGAGCCATTTTTTCTTTAGTAGTTATCCGATGTACGTTTGTAATTACAGCACGTTTGAAATCCGCTAGATGAATCAGCCTCGAATTGCATTAGAATGACACCAAGAAACTGATGCAAATGATTTCTCTCATGTTACGTGGTTAATATTCAGCTATAAGCGTGTGTGTTGGGAATGTTGCAAGCAATGATAATTAAATGCTAATTAATTCCTATTTGGCTTTTTGCTTTTTGCTTTTTGCTTTTTTCTATGACAACCTTATTGCAAATAGGTGTATGCCAACCCTCCCGGATTATCTGGGAGTCTCCGGGATACAGCACTAGTCTCCTACCCTCCCGCACAGGTCACCCAAAATATCCCTGGCAAAAAGGGACTTTTGTGCTTTTCTGTGCTTTAGTTTGAAATTTAGCCTATATTTTTTGGCAAAATAACAACCTAAAAGTTTTATTCATTGAAATTGGGTTCTAGGACATTTTTGCATGTATTTAGTCACTGACAAAGATTAATTCATCATTACAATAAATGATGAATAAAGCGAATTTTAATAGCATGTTGCTCATGTAAGACTTCATATATTACAGCTTCCTCTTATTGCAACCCACCATTTTAGTTTTGAGAAGCAGGAAGAGATGGAGGCGGCTGTAATTTAGCAGGCTGTTTCAAAGAGTACCTAAATGAGCACAATCGATTGTGTGAAGAATGCTTGAGAAAAGTGCAAATTAAATTCCAGTAAGAATCTTGTTGCACTATTCAGCCGTACTTCTTTCCAATTAATTCAATGACCTTAAATGACCCTTAAGGTTTTCATTGAAACTTTTCCCACTGAAATATCAAACCATAGATACAGTTATAAACAGTTATAGTTCTGAAATGGTTACAAAAATGATATCTTTTTTAAGCCATTTTTACTAGTCCGGGCCCAGTTGTTCAAAAGGTGGATAACGGTATCCACTCGATAAATCACTATCCAATGGATAGGGCAACTGGTTTCCCTCACATTTATCCGCTGGATAGTAATTTATCCGGGGAGTGGTGCTATCCAGCGTTTGAACAACCAGAGCCTGGGGTTTAGCATCAGATTTTGAAATCAATGCATGCGGGGAAGAAAAAATATAGTGCTGAAGGCAGGCCAACCTAGGGGAGTCTGGGGCATGGTACCCAGAAAATTTTTAAATTTAGGGTCTCAAAACTGCCATTCCCAGTTTTTTCTGCAGGACATTAATTTTTAGTAAATTAATACCCAGGAAAATGCAGTAGTTAGTTGTTAATTTTAGTGTTGTCAATAAGGTACAGTTTTCATGGGAAAAAAGGCCAGTGGTGCCTTCAGAATTATGGAATAACAAATATTATAGTAATAAAAAAAGAGTGAGTTTAAGCAATGATCAACAGACCAATCTCTTTTTTTCACCTTCAAATCTTTCCATTTTTATTATTATTTTTACACAGATTCAAACCGTAAACAAATTTAAATCTCCAAGACTAAATTATCTTTTTTTAAGAAACCAAAAAATTTGTTTTTTAGTTACCGAGACAACAACCAGTGGTGGCTTACTGGTTAAGTCTATCTTTATAATATATTTATACATCCAGTGATGCATCCAAACCCTGCATTCAAAATGCTGTACTGATTATGTCTGGACCACCACAAAAATTTGTCAGTAATTTATGATTTTTCCAGTGGTGTTTCAAGACCGAAAAGGTCTTCGTCAGTCTGTACTTTTGTTGGACTTAATCTATTTCCATCCGGACAGCAAGAAATTCTCAGGATTCCAATGTTCAGAAATCCCCATGTGCCTTTCAACAGTAGAGTATTTTTGAGTGACTATGAAACCTCTATTCATTGTGTCCCTACTCTCCTCACATCATTTATGTTTAACTGGGTGAATGGTCCAGTCGCTGTATGAAATCCAGAATGTACATTTGAACTCGGATATCATCTGGATTATTTGTAATTGAAAACAGTGGCACACCAGCTCTCTGTAAGAGGATAATCAATAGTGTCTTAGCATAACATTTTTCTATGATGTCCACCAGTTAATCCCAGGTAATTTTTATGTAATTACAAACACTCAAAATTCTCTCTTAAAAAGATAGGTTATGAAATGGGTCCCTTTCAGTTATGGTCACTGTCACATGGTAAAAAAAAAAAAACTACGCTATGGAGCAAGAAACGTAGTGGGACATCACCAACAGAGAGCTATGTAGCAGAGATTTCTGAATTTTCATTTAATAATAATGATAATAATAATAATAATTTATGAACTTATTGTCCACTCAGCTTAACATGAGAATGATCAGCTGCGCATTACAACTATATTACTTTACAAGAAACAAACAACAGATAATGCATTAAAAATAAATAAATAAATAAATAAACAACAATAAAAAGAATATGTATGCATGCAAGTAAGAACTGAAGATAAAATTGCTCACCAATATAAAGTTCTAAAAAGATAAGTCTTAATATGTGCCTTAAAACTGTTCACATTACATCGCACAAAGTTCTTTTGGAAGAGAGTTGCAGAGCGTTGGCGCTGCTACCATAAAAGCTCTATCACCTAACATCTTCGATCGAACAGCTTGCATAGAAAGTAAAATACTACCTGAAGATCTAAGGTTATATTTACACAAAAGAAGGTCTATTTTATTTTATTTGCATGACACAAAAGTAGTATAAAAAATGAGACTTACTTGGAGAGTTGCCTGTTGATCACTAACTAACTGGTCCAGTTCCAAAACCAATTTCTGATCCACATGAGAAATTTCTTTTTCTAACTTCTCTTCCAAATCCTTGGGAAATACAAATTGTTTTGAGAGATTTTACTGACAATATAGAGGCACGGTGGTAAAGGAGCTAATACCTTAATCTGTGTAAGGTTGTGGCTCAAGCCTTGCTATTCTGTTCTTAGACAAGAAACTTTGCTCCACATTGTCTCTTGCCACTCAGATCTGGTAAGGTGGACTAGCATCCTATCCAGCATGGTTGGCCTCAGTGCATTGTATATGTCTTTAAACTTTACCTGAAGGTTACGTACAGTAAATCCTTTTTTAAACCCCTCGGGGGCTTATTTCTTTCAAACACATTTGATGAGCGGCTTATTAAATTTAGCAAATACGATGTACAGTACTACTAAATATCATAGACATCATAAAAATGATCAAGGCATGCACACGCATAATAGCATGCACAGGATATAACGTCCCAATTCAAATGAAACTGAAATTGATATTCACACTCACGGACCACAGTACATGTATGTTCAGGTGTGTGGTGTGGCATTATGCAGTGGTACTAACATATTAACATTCAATGACAGCAACGTGAGATGCGGTTGATTTTTCAACTAGGCATTGTTCATCCGAAAGGACTGAGTATAAATTTCAGTTTCATTTGAATTGGGACGTATATACATCCTTTTTGAGATTTCTTTACCAAATAATGCCTCATCAACTATTGAATTACAAGAGTCACACATCCCTGACGGTTTTTCTGTTAAACATTCATTTGTAATAGAGAGTTTTGTTGTCTGTCTTCAGATTAACTGTCTGGTTACATAAAGGCCCAAGCATTTTCAATTTCGGACTCCTTGTTTTTTTGAACAGTTTACTGGAACTCATTGGTTATGGACAGGGACTCATGACTTTTTACAAGATGAATCCCAGGACTCACCATAACTAATTGAAACAAAATCACTCCAGGCTTTCCTTAATAATTAACTCAAATATCCCAAAAAAGTGATTGTGAGTGACTTGGGACCAGGCAGTACCTTACTTACAGTAATCAGAGGCAATTGATGTGAGAAATTTGAAATCCAGTAAAGCGCAATTTATTAAGAAAAGAAAATTGGTCTTATTGTATTTTTTGTTTGTCATAACACATAATTTGTAGGATCAACCATCAGTTTTTTTCATACTGTCAGACTGACACAACATACAAACAAAAAAAAAACAATTACTATATGACACGCATTACTTCAAAATCAACTGTAGCACAGCAGTGAGCACTTCACAAGTACACCCCATCCTCAAGGTTGAATGCTAGAAAATATTACATTTACTGTTATCTGACAATTTACTTATTAATAAGTTATTTTTAACAGATAAGTAAATTGTTTATTACATGCAAGGGGCCAGCTCCAATACCTTCTTTTCCTGAGCATTGGAAGCCTCAACAAGGGGAAGGTTATGAGGCCGTTGTTCACAGCTTTGAATGGCATCCCTCTGTTTCTTGGATAATTCCATTCGCTGAGCTGAAAAATTAATAATAGGACAAAAGAACAATTTTGATATATTTAAATTCATCCCTCACTACGGTGCTTAGGGGAACAAAACTGGGATTAAAAAATGTTCACGGCTGAACCTCAAGATTGATTCCTTTGTTTCATTCCCTTACGCCTCAGAGCAAAGTATGAATTGTAATATATCGAAATTGGTCCATTTTGTGCAATTAGTGAATGTCATAACAGAGAAGACTTACAAGGCAATAGTTAGAACATAGAAACCTGAAAGTATATAATGTTATAGCTCAAAATTAAATTCAGGTTAAATTTTTTATAATCTAGACTGAATCCCAACAATTCCCTTTGTCTCTCAAGCCCTAATTCATGAATAATTAGGGTTTAGACAAAGAGAATTAAGAATGCATGGTTTAAAAATTTTAACCTGAATTCAATTTTAACCCATAACATATATATACATGGAATGAACAGTCATGGTTGAATAATTGAATTAGCGCTCAGGGAACCAACTCGTAGAGGCAGGGGTGCATATTTTGTTCTTCCAATTCTGTCCTCAATAAATTATGTGAACTTGTCTTTATTTCAAGCGGTGACCATAATTTCTGTTATGTTAAAGTTGAGGTTGAAGCAGGATGTTACTTCAAGCATTTACACTAGTTTTTATCTGGATGCAAAAGAAACGAAACTTTTAATTCTTAAGAATAAAATATATTAATTCATAGAAGTAGTACCTTTTTGGGAGTTAACTAATTTCATCCTTTTGTTGAGCAAATTTCTCTCAGACAGTTGTTGTATGTCTTCAAGTCCCTTCACAATCTCAAAGACTGTACCATCAAGGAGACAGGTGGCAATTCCAGAGAGCACATCATAAGTAAATTTCTTTTTATATGTTCTGTTAATAAAGAATGAGCAGTCATATATAATACATAGAAATTATTTAGTTTCCTAAATGACTATAAATTTTAAACTGCTGAAAGTGCACATATCAATGGTACAAAGATTTACGGTGAAACTCTGGAAATCAAGAACAGCAGAATTATTTTTGAAAATAATGTTATTGTGTTGCAAGTCAAAAATGTAACTAATGTTTATGGCCTGGCGCACGCTACTGGTGTACACAGCTAAGAATCTCACATCGTTTGGCTCTTATGAACTTATTAAAACTCAGATCGCATCGATATTTGGCAAGAAGTTAAAGTTTATAAACAGCTTTTCATTGAATATTTTTTTCCTGGCTGTAAGACCAAAATAAAATTGAAATATGAAAAATATGGCTCAAAATGGGACCATTTTTAACAGCTCGCATAACATTTACAGTCTAACCAAGCATATTGTGGGATTTCTCTGTTTCTGTTAATGGTACTTTGGAAAAATTTCTCCGAAGAGGTCAGTGACTTATGAGTACTAACTGTATTAAAAATTACTGAACATAATGGCAAAACAACAAAGTTTAGGGCGTTTTCAGAAAGATGTTCTGTCTACATACGATCTCTGTGCAGCGCAAACGTCAATTTAAAAGATTGCTTTTCATTGACTCTCTGTTGTTGTTAAGAGAAGAAATAATAATTTTTGGAATGCTCACAAGTTAAACCTTCCTTATAGACTAACTGCTAAGACTTCGGGAAACCCATTTTTATGCTAAGATCAAATATGTAAGGTTAGACAGCATTTTTTAACGTGAAAAATTCGTAAACCATGCGTTGGACTGAAAATCGGATTCTAGAGTGTGCTTTGGCATAAAGATTTTGTGCCTAAAATGTGCCTAAGATGTGCATAAAGTTTGCATTTTAGTTTTGAAAAACGTGCCTAAGCCGTGCCTAAGTTGTGCCCAAATTGTGCCTAATCTGTGCACAAGTTGTGCCAAAATATTGAGTCACTCGGAAAATCGTGTCCAGCCTATTGAGCTACACAGCGAACGAAAAGGGCGCATGGCAATTATGTCCGTTTTGAGGTTTACGAAGTCTAGAAACACGGTCTGACGACCTTTTTATCCGCTAATAAGAAATAACATGACTCAGAATACAGTTAGAGACAGCAGGGAAAGCCCCGACAAACAGGAAAATGGAATCTTAAACAGGTTAGCGTATTTAAAGTAAGTGCTCAGTTCAATTACATTGTTGATATGCTAATTTCATCCATGTTAAAAAATGTCCAAGCAGGTTTCTTCTCCCCTTCTTAACGGAGCGTTTAGTTGGAACGAAATAGGAGGGGCAGATTTGCATTCAAAAAAAGAATTTACTTGTGATATGACTTATAAAATGAAAACGAAAAAATTGATTGCACGCCGATGACTTTTGAAATAAATGGCACGTCTCATCGATTATTATACGATCAAAGTTTAATTTGCTAACAGAGCCAGAAAACAAAAACAAACAAGCAGCTTGAATTATTTTACTACTAAGTGTAAATCCTACTTTTTTAGTTAGAGAAATATTTTTAAAAAGCAGCCACATTTTGTATTTAAAAAACAACACGCGTTTGCATGAAGGTTTCAAATTACCACTTTGTACTTTTCATGTTGTTATGCAAATTCAGGCCAATTTTATCGCGATCGCAAAAAGTATTTTCTACGACTTTTATTGGCTATTTTTGTGCCTTACTTCTTTAGCTTTGTTTTTGTTATTATGGCTTCGACTTTCTTTCACGATTTCTTTTAGAAACGAAAGAAAGCGAGTCTATAAAATTGCATGGCAATCGAAAGGTTCAGACCGGCATATATCGCGTGTGAATTTCCACTTTATCCTCGGAGTAAACACGGACTGTCGAAGAATACTTTAATTTTCCAGACTTTCGGCGCGGCTCAAAACTTACCCTTCCTATACTTCTAACTGTATCGTGTTTGATCTGAATTATTTTTGTAATTCGTACCAAGTTTGTTCTTTCTTGCAAGTCGGGTTACAAAGATTTTCAAAAAAGTGCCTTGCCGCGTTGAATATTTGTGCCTAAACCGTGCCTAAACCGTGCCTAAACCATGCCTAAACTGTGCCCAAACTGTGCCTAAAATGTGCCTTAGCAATATTTAAAACGTGCCTTGACTGTGCCTAAAGTGTGCCTAATCTGTGCCTTGGCATGTTTTTTTCCCATGCTTTGGCACAAAAACCGTGCCTTTTCTTGAGCGCGAATCGTGCATAAGGCACGGTGTCACGCTCGTGTACACCAGTAGCATGCATCAAGCCTTATGTTTTTTTGCCTCCGTCATTCACTCTAACGGACTTCTCACGAAACCGACTTTCTTCAGCGGTTCAAAAGATCATGTCTGTAGGTTGTAATATTGGTTGCTTTTGATCCATGTTTTTTTTATTTTTTCGAGTATGAGTGACACCAAACTTTCTCAGACATGAATTGTTACTTTTCTGCAATCTGAATGGTCAACTTTGTCTGTGGCCCTGTCTATACAGTAGTCGCACAGTAAATTCAATTCAAAATATATGCATAAAGTTTATATGGTTTCCACTATTGTTTAAACCAGTGTGTTGATAAATTATCATGCTTTCTCCATATTTAATAGGCTGCATTGCCATGCAATTCAACTATCTTTACCGACAATAAATTCTAAATTTGTAACATGTCATGGCTGCTATATATGTTTTTACTGTAAATGTTTATTAATTTCAACTTTCCCTCAAATACTGTTAATACTCAGGCCTAACAGGTTTCTTACATGCATATGAGAAAAGTTCTCACCCAGGTAAATCTCGAACCATGGCTTGTAACTGCGTCAGATAGCTGGTTAACTTTTTCTTTTCAGCTTCGATTCTCTGTTGTTCCTTTCTGTATTCCTCTTCCTTGCGAAGCATTTCATCGCGTACCGTGGCCAGTAAGTTAAAATCTAGATTAGGCTGATAATTCAGTCTCGGTTGTCTTTGTCCTCCGCCACCGCCACCGCCGTAAAAGTAAGACATCTCAACTCGAAAATAAAAATAAAATCCTCAACACAAAGAATTGTTTGTCTCCGAAAATATGAAAACAGTCAGGCGCAAAGACAAGTGAGTTGGGGAGGATTCCCGTGATGCGTTGCGCGCTCATCAGACTATCATGGCCACCATGTTCAAGAAACATGGCAGACGAAATTTTCGGAAAAAAGCTGTTGACGAAGATGAAGAAAACGGGAGTAAAGAAGACACAGAGAACGTTCCTACCATTACGGAAAGTTCGGGCGATAATTCTAAACCAAAAGAGCAAGGAAAGGTCAAGATCAAGACCAATGTTGTCTCTTCTGCAAACCCGCTTCTCAGCTTTGACACTGAAATTTCCAAACCAAAAGAGAAGGCAAAGTCAAAGATCAAGGGAGCTTCTTCTGCTAATTCCCTGTTGAGCTTTGACGATGACATTGCGGATGATGGTGAAGTTTTTAAGGTGAAAAAGTCCAAGGAAAGTCGTCGCTTGGCAAAGAGAATTGAGCAGGAACGCAAGAAGAAAGATAAAATCGACGAGAAGAGATCTGTTGGAGATGAAAGCTTTGATCAGGGGCAAGATGATGCTGATGAGAAACTTGCCGCTTTGCGTGCTGAGCTAAGTAAAATGGCAAGGGAAGATGAGGAAGTTTCGGACAATGACGATGTTGACTCTGTTGAATCAGGGTCTATAAAGAAAGAGCCAGTTACAAACTCTAATATAAAAACAGGCATTTCTGATATCAGTATTCCAGATGCAGCTACAATCCATGCTGCACGCAAGAGGCGTGAAATGGCCAGGCAGACAGAGCAGGAGTTTATTCCTCTGGATGACACAAAGAGATATGAGGGGCACTCTGCTTCCACTGGGCGTTTAGTCAGGGAAGATGAAAATGATATCAGTGATGATGAAGGTGAAGAAGGTGCTATAACATTCTCTGTAGCACGAAAACGAGGCTTTCCTGCTTTGGATCGTCGGCGAGAAGTCGAGGCCGCTCTTGCAAATCAAGAACTGGAGGAGAAATCAGACAACGAGGAGGTGGAGGATGAGGAATTGAAGCGTTGGGAAGATGAACAGATCCGTAAAGGAGTAAAAGGAGTTCCTGTTCCCTTGGTGGAACAAGAATTACCACATACTACTGCTGTGACAAACTCACTTTATCAACAGCCATATACTGACGACCAATCTTCAATGTTTCAATATGCCCACGGACAACCTTATTCATATGGAACAGGATATGCCAACACGCACACAAATGGAAACCAAACATATGGACCTGCTCTGACTGCCACTTCACTACATTCGCGTCATGCCGTTACCGTTGACATGATTTGTGACAAGATGAAACAACAGTTAAATTCTTTACAGGAGGTACATCGTGGACATCAGATGGAACAAGAAAAAGTCACACAGCAGCTGGAAACTGCGCAAGGAAGCATTAAGAAACTTGAACGCCAAGGACGAAATGCTGAGCAGAGATTCAGTTTCTTCCAAGAGATGAGGGGGTATGTCAGGGACTTGATAGAGTGCCTTAATAACAAGGTGGGTGATACAAGCATGGAATGAGAGATGGAATCATGAGAAGAGACTTGTCAAATGCTTTTCTCTCTTTGATCTTGACTTCTTACACCTTGCGTCCTTTCATGGATATTTTGTTGTTCAAAATGGGTTAAGATGTAAATTTCTACAAACCTTTCATTTACCAGTCTTTGCTATGAGTGAGGAGCTTATTTCACATATTTCTTTTCTTTCTATAATTTTTTTTTTCATGAAAACTTTGGTGTTACTATTCCAATACATGAACATGTAAGGTTTAATAACTTTTTCAGTTCGTCTGATTATATTTTGTTGTTTTGACTGATTTATGATTAATTTATGCTCCTACAAAACAAATTTGCCAGCAGTTAACCAACCACAAGAAAGATACATTGTAACTTTCCCACACTCTGTCACCATTTCCTTATATATATCTCTCACAACAACAACAGTGTTTTAAAGGCAAAGAGGATCCAGATTAATGCGTCTTTCTCTTCTTGCACAGGTTCCAGAAATTGACGAGCTTGAGAGGTCAATGCATGCATTGTTAAAGAATCGAGCCAGTAGTCTGGTGCAGAGAAGACAACTGGACGTCAATGATCAGGCAGAAGATTTCTTAAATGCTCAAGCTGGTGAGTAGCTGTTCCATTCGCCCCTGAACTGATAGGAAAGTTCTTTGGGTGCAGATCCATGTGCATTGTACCAATTTGTGATGTTGTCAGGTTTAATAGTCAAGGACAACTTGGTCTTCTAACTTGTGCATGGGGAAGAGATCCCTTGTCACCTAAAGACAAGAGAAAGTAACGTTAAGTCAAAACGGACCCTTGTCAACTTTTCCCTAAAATCCCAGTTTTGATTTCCTTCATAAGATCTGAGTTAGTCAAATACATGCTTTCATCCCTTTGAATCTTATACCTTATCCCTTGGTAAGTTTTTTTCCCTTCGTCTTTCCCCTGGAAGAGCCAAACAGAATGTGACTTCAGGGTGTATTTTTTACATTTTTTATCTCATCTAACAGGAAGACAAAGTCAAAGTTCATCTAAACCCTCTGATCAGAATAAGATGAGACGTGCTGCTGAGAGAGAAGGAAGAAGAGCGCGTAGGAGGAAACATAGAGAAAAAGAGAAGAAAACATCCCAGCCTGATACTCATCATGAAGGACAGTCTACTGATGATGAAGAAACTGAAACAGATGCTATCAAATTCAGGGCAGAAACAAGTAATTTTTTGTGTTATTACATTCAGGCTAGGTCAAGCTTCCCACAACATCCCATTAATGAATTAATTATCTAAAAATTGCATCTGTTAGTAGTTGTAAATTTCAGATTCATCTATGTATCCAAAGTGATTTCTCACACAAGGTAGTTTTGAAATCTTCTACCAGCTCAGTTTTCTTGAATTTGGTATGTCTTCAAAGCAATGTTATTCAAGCAAAGATTTTTCAATTTGACAAAATGCTGAGAAGTTGTAGCCAAAAATCTCTGCTTCATTGCACAGGTAGGGATGCAGAATTGAATTGGATACTGGTCACTACACGCACGGTAATTCAAGCTGAATTAATAATTTTTATTGGTTGATTCTATAGTTTTAGTGTTCTTTATCACATTTTTCTTAGTGTATACTACTACATGAGAAATTTCTGCAATTTGATTGGCTTAGAACAGTGTTTTTTCAGCTTAATTTGAAACACATACATGTGAAAATTGTAAACCTTTTGCTGGTGGTAGTATAAACAAATAATAGCATGATTTGTTCAAGATATTTGGCATACATTGTAAATACCACTCGTGATATTTCAAAGTTGTCTCAAATTTCACTTCCCTAACGACTCGTGAAATTACCTATAACAATTTTGAAATATCACTCGTGGTATTTATGCCAAACTTCACTACAAATCATGCTATTACCTTTACTAATACAATCATATGTCTCTTTTGTTTCTTCTACCTTTCTTTAGAGAGAATTACGTCAGAAGAGAAGGCCATATTTGAAGATGTCATTGAGGACTTCAGTTCAATCGACTCTATAAAGTCAAGATTTGAAGAATGGAAGAACAAACATGAAGACTGTTATACGAATGCATATATTTCACTTTGTCTTCCTAAACTGTTTGCTCCATTTATTAGACTTCAACTTTTGGACTGGAATCCATTCGAGGTACAACTGATACCTTTTTTATGAACATTGTGAGCAAATGGATGTGGAACTGAACTTGACAAGAACTTTGTGTGTGTTGCTGATGCACACCATGGAAATGAATGCATAGTTCACTTTTGAAGGTTTCTGCTCTACAGTGTACCTGCATTCCACTAAAGTTTTTTTAACCCTTTCACTCCCAGAAGTAGACAAATTTAAAATCTGACAAAAATTAAAAATTTCTTTTGTAAAATACTGAAAAACAAATAGCACCGCGTGAAGGGGCTGCAAAAGATGTTTCATTTGAATGGTCACATAGCAGGATTTTGCCTAGAGAATTAAGAGTTAGAATCACTTTGCAATTCTCAATCATTCATGCTGGTAGTGAAAAATGTAACCTAGTTTTCGTCAAATGTTGAATCATTTCTGGTCTGCAGACCTTTTAATTCTCAGTGAGGTCTAAAACTGTGACTATGTTTCAATGGAAAGCATCAGACTTTGTTTTAGTGGCGAAAAAGCTAAAATTTTTTACCTTTTTGGAAAAACATTTGTGGCTGATTTTGTTTTTAATGTTTTCATGACAAATTTCCTTGTGCAGGCAGCCTCAAATCATGCTTTTAAAATTAGCATTCTTTACTGTTTCAATTTAAAGGACTGTAAAAAATGGACCATTTGGGGACAATTGAAAGCATTTAACAATCCTTTGCAGTTATTACTTCACTGTGTGTGCGATAATGTGGCAAATTTAAGGCACTTTTTTTTGTATACTGTGTCAAGATGAATAGAATTCTCCTTCTGTTATCTCAGTTTTCAAGTAGAAGCAGATACAGTTGTAAAGTTTATTTTTTAAAACCTTTTTATTTCTCTTTTTAGGCCAAGAGCATGGAAATTGAAGAATTCCGCTGGTATAAAAGTCTTGTATTGTTTGGCTGTGGAGATGATCCATATGATATTGATGTTGAAGATCCTGATGTCAAACTGATTCCAGCTGTGTTAGAGAAGACGCTTATCCCAAAACTAGTTGGTGAGTATAAGCAGTACCATTTTATCGTCAGCAATGTTCTGGAAGCTTAATTACAAGGAAGGTTGTGAGTAGAGCAGCCTTTCTGTTTTGTAAAGCAGGCTCTGCTACAGGCAGCATGAGACCCTTCTTGCTACAAACTACAATGCCTTTGTTTTGACCTATGACTGGGTTTTGATCTGCTGCATACTGAAAGATAGCTTTCAGGGCTTTCACTAAAAGCAATGGGGTAGGGATTTCTCACGGCTACTGAGAGCATGACTACCCGCTAATTTCATAGGAAACAAGGGAAATTACAACCAAAAGAATTTCCTAACTGTTTAGTCCCCCCCCCCCCAACTAATTACAAATACTGTCACTGCAGCTGACAACTTAAAACCTTGGTGACAGCCCTGGCTTTCAACTATGATCAACATGTACCATTAGGGTGTTTCATTTCAACCAATTAGAAGAAGAACAGTACTGAGATTTTGGTAGAGACATTTTGGAGAGTTTTAGAATCATGTTTTCAGCAAACAACAAACGTCAGATTCAATTTTGCAATTTCTTAAAATTGGAAATGAGCAGATAAAATTGTAGGCTTGCTACAAGTCGACCTCTCATAAGTTCTCAGTGAGCGAAGCGAGCAAGAAAAGTCGAGTGAAGTCAGGAATAACCAACCAGGAAAAAAATTTTAAAGGTCTTTTAGAAAGTCTAATAAAATTTATTGTACCTAAACTAATTGTGATGGATGAAACTGGCATGAAATAATATTACTAGTGATTTTTTGTGGGTATAATGAACTGCAAACAACAAGTAGAAGGAAAACTTGGCCACATGGTACAAATTGACGTTTGTTGTTGGCTGCAAATGTGATTCTAAATCTATCTGTTATCATTTTTTGACGGGAAAGAGTTGAAAGAGTTGTCATACCAGGCAGTGAGGGGGTACTCTCCTTGAGATGACTTCTCCAATGAACTAACTGTTGTGGATGCCAGGGTGTTGATTTTACTCTTTTCATATTTTTATACAGGTCTTTTTGAACACGTGTGGGATCCATTATCCCAGAAACAGACGACACTAGCCATTAAATTAATAAGAGGAATGGCTGAGGTGTATCCCAATTTCCAGGCTCAAAACAAGACAACACAGGTAAAAAATATTGATCATCAAAATAGATTATCGGTGTTCATTTGCACTTGTCTTTCATCTGTAAACAATGATGCACCTATTGTTTGGTTTGGTCCTATTAACAAGGTAAATTAAAAGAGAAATATACAAGTTGGGAGTATATAATTATTATGCCATATAAAGCTGTAAGACACATTTAACGGTTTTCTTATAAGAAAATGTATGGGACTGTATTTTGGAACAAATCAAAGTGACCCTAATAATGAGTTGGCTGTATAAATGAGGTTGACACAGCAGGGTTCCACTGTATTAATCACTACTGTTAACGAACAATATGTAGAATATTTTATATATCTTAGTTTAGGGAGACAGCACTAATCCATGCCTAGGCTTCTGCTGATTTTTTAGGTGTATTAACCTCAGAAACATATTCTTGTGAACATAATTCTAATTTTTATTTGGTGACTTTATTCATTTTAATTGTCATACCATGCATTCCAAGTACTTTCAACTTATTTCCTGTTGATACTTTCTTCTACAGTCGCTGTTTGCCGCAATAACTACTCGTATGCGGCGATGTGTTAGCGATGATGTATATGTTCCTCTGTATCCAAAAAGGTAATGATTATTATTTTTCTTTTATGCTGCAAGTTCCAGAGGTAATAGGTTTCCACCAACTCCCCATTTCCCTCTTAGGACACGAGGCAACTAAGCATTGTATGAGGTCTTTAAAAAATGCTTGAGGACGAAAGATTTCTAAAATAATGTGTCTTCACAAAAAGGAAGAAGGAAGTCTTCGCTGTTGATTACATTTCTCATTGTTTACATCTTCTTCCCTTGTATTTTTGGCAGTTTACTGGATAATAAGGCTTCTGGTGCTCTACCCTTCTTTCAGAGACAATTCTGGAGTTGCGTGAAGGTATTTATTTTAAATGTGTGAGGCAACGCTAAGCGAGGTTTCAGTGAAGGTCAAGCATCACAATGGCCTTTTGTACGTTTGGGATAGGCCTTTTGTAATAGTTGGTCACGTGATCAACTTTCTGTTTAAACCCGAAAATAGTTCGCTTTTCGAAAATCTTGTTAGCAGAAACAGCACATTGCAAACTAAGTAACTTGAGAATTTTCAGCCATATATTTCAAGAGTAGTGATTGCAATGGCCACCGAAAATTAGAAGGATTTGTATGGGGAAAACTACACTAATCCTTGTAAAATTTTGAATTTCTGTCCTTAAATCTTTCCCTTACGTCTTAAAAGGGCTCAAATTATTTTTTATGAAAAAAAGGAAAATTTGACCTTCGTAATGCTTAAGGAAATATTTTACGACCGTTTGAAAATTTCGAAATTTTAAAGAATTTGTATGGAAAACTACTCAACCGTTAGTAGGTGGGAAGAGTCCTTTTTGGCGGCCATTGCAATCGCTACTTTTGAGATATACAGCTGAAAATTTTCAGGTTACCTAATTTTAATATGCTATTTCAGTTCTTGCTAACAAAATTTTGCAAAAGCAAACCGTTGTGTTTAAAGAAAGTTGATCACATGATCTACTATTGCAAAAGGTCTATTGACTAAACCAAAACCAGTTAATAGTTAAATGAAGACCATTCACCCTTGAATTACTTGCGTGTCATTTCCGCTGCTCTATGTACTTGCTTTGCACTTGGTTCATTTGATTGCCTGCATCAACCTCCTTCCCAGAACCCTCATTGCCCTTCCCAAGTGGATCGGCGTCGCGCAGGACAAGGGTAATGGGGATTCTGGAAATGAGATTGTGCCTGCACCTGTTGTGAATGGCCAGTAAATGGTTTGGTTTGGGTCGCACAGTTAAAAACCGCCTATACCTTAAGTCTACTTTAATATCCGAACCCAGTGGCATCCGAAACGTTGATCAAGATAGTATGGTACTAGGAAAGTTGGTCTAGGAGAACCGAAAACGACTGTTATGGGTCGATAAGTTACCACGTGACCTTATATTCAGCCGGAACAACGCTCGCTGAATTTTTTCATACGCAGGATAACTCTGGTCACGTGGTCTTTAGTCAGCCAGTGAGAGTCCAAGTCAGGTATCGGTAATTTCCAGGTGAATAAAGGAATAAATTTTAATTTGAGTAGAATTTTTAAGCGTAAGCAAAAACCGATCTGAGAGATATCTTTCATTTAGCTCCTTGCGTTTCTTTTTGAATTCTTTTGCAGTTGTTAGGTAACATTCTCAAGTGGGAGGGACTTATTTCATCCGCTAGACTACAAGAAATGGCGGTAGATGGACTGCTGAACAGATACCTGTTGTTAGCTCTTCAACACTCACATCTTTACTACGACAGCCTTGAGAAGGCAAAGGCGGTAAGAATATAGCTTTAACCTGTTGTCTTGCAATATCGGGTTAAACGACGTTGAATTCAGCTCAAAACTAGACATGTGCAGTGGAACCTCGATATAACGAAGGGCCAAGGGTTAGCTATAACGAGGTCCCTTCTCAGATATTTTACTATTGCTGGGGTAAAGAAAATCGTACGTTATACCGAGGACTTCGTTATAAAGAGATTCGTTGTATCAATGTTCCACAAGTGTACTTATTTACGAGTCGTTGGCTAATAAATGTCGTAGCTGTGATAGCGCTCCTTCGTAGACTTATTGTATAAAACGAAGAAGAACCGTGTACTTTGTCTTTATTAGAATCGTTTAGGATATTCAGGCTCAGTACCTTCTCGAAGTTTCAAGACGTTAGACCCCTTAAGGAATAAGATTTTTTGTGATTCTGTTTCAGATTACAGCCTCGTTTCCAAAACAATGGTTTAACGACCAACAACAGACAACATTACCTTCTTTAGAGGCCTTTGCGCGCTATCTCGCTACGTTAGCAGCCAGTATGCAGCGCTCAAGTTCTGGATGTCCAGAAGCCGAAAGAAAGAAAGCCAGGTAACGTTTTGACAACTTTAGTAGATTTGGTAGAGACCTTTAGATTCTCAAACAAAGACGACTATGAGAATATGAGATGGTTAGTGGTGCGCGCGTGTGAAAATGCGTCGTTTGGGAGTTCACGGATATTATTGTTCATTCAAAATATTTCCCCGATTCTGATTGACCAAAAGCCCACGCATAATTCACCATAACCAGTTACTGATGACCAAATTTGAAAGAATTTTGTGCTTAACGAGGAAATGACGTCAAAAATGCAGCGTTGTTGCAGGTTAATGCACCGTTAACCGAGAAGACCTGGGTACTAGGTTGAGTTGTCTTCGTTGTGGAAACCAAAATGGCGGACATTTCACTCGTTTCAAGAGTAAGAACTAGGCGAAATAATAGCGAAAAACATGGCAAGAACAGCGAGAAGACAACTCGAAGGGCGACATCTGCTATTTGGAGAATATTTGCGGAGCTGAACAACCCTAAACGTGCACTATCGAAGATGAACTTAACATCGATGGATCGATGGAGGTAAGCTTGTTTTGGCCATGCTTTTAAACTAGGAATTATTTGGAATGAATAAGAAAACAATTATTGAATTCGGCTTTCATATCGTATGAAGAATTATGGAGATCTCGGAGGGTGTTATCAGCCTCGGCCTACGGCCTCGACGGATAACACCCTCCTCCTCGATCTCCATAATTCTTCATAAGATACTCAGCCTCATTCATTAATTGTTAAATAGAAAGACTTGGTCTTTCTATTATCCATTGGGAGTTTAAGCAGCGACGTTTGTGAGCAACGCACATCAACCGGAAATGCACTTTTGCACTCTAGCGCCGTGCTATTGAACGTTTATTTGGGCAGATCGTCTCCTTGAGAGTTAAGACACTTAGCCATACAAATTTGGTAGTATGAAGGCATGAGAACTCCCCATGTGGTAGCTATCGTCAATCTACTAGGGGTTCAGGCTAAAATCTTGTAGTGAAGGAAGCAAGTTATTATACATGTCGGTTAGAAGTTTTATTGTTTTGCGATGGGGAGAGGCCGAGCTTAACCCCCTTGAATAAAAATCAGCGTGTTAATTTTTCTAGCGAAGAAAGTAAAATGAAGCCTTCTGCGTTGTTTGTGCTTTTGCTATTACGCAAATTAACTTTGGCAACTTCTGAGGATAAAAGGGTTAAATTCTACCTTAATCTTGTTTTGCTTCGAATAAACCAAGTTGAAGTACCTCGAATAGTTACTGAATAGGCCCTTTGATCATATGCTTAGATACCACTTAGCAACGTCTCGCTGAATGGCAAGTCATCTGAGCGTTCATTCCCATCAGAAAGGTTTGAGTGCTATCCAGCGAAAAATTCCTAGGTTAATGACTCTGCTGAAAATTACCCGAACTGACTGGCCTAGAAGACTTGAAACACGTTTGAACTTTTTTTTTAATTGCATTCGTTTTTAATCACAGCTTATCTGTTATTGAGACAATCGTTGAAAATCGCATAACACGAGGAAATTTAGTAACTAGTATAGATCAGTTCAGTTTTGCATTAAAAACTAGATCACTATAAGCCGGTTTCCTCCATCTACCGGTTAAGTGTTCAATTTTTTTTTTTTTAATTCATTTCGCGCACACAAACAATTACAATGCATTACGAAACAACACGTTTGAATTTACCCAGGAAGGCTTTGCCCGATGGCTCTGAATGAGACTTGTCATCCAGCAAGCCGATCCTAAGTGGTATCGGCCAAGGATATTAGCAAGTTCTGCAAAGGTCCTATTCTGTTTTATTCGATTGCTAATGAAAGCATGCAAAGTATTATTTTAAGCATTCCGTATTTTGATTTTACCATATGTATTTCTTGTTGTTTCTCTTAGGAGTGGCATCAAGAAAGTTATTCAACTTCTACTTCAGCTAAGATCTATGGACAAAGCTAGGCTAGTAGCGGTAGAACATAACATGGACGAACTTGTGAAAGACCTTTGATATCTCCTGAGGTCATTCATGCTTGAAACTGCGCTGTGCCATGAAGCCGTCAGCAGCTGTGTATGGGCCGATGATCGTTTTAAGCATTCTTTTTCCAAGGACTTTTTTCATCATAATTGCATGTTTTTCATTTTGACACGTATGACCAAAAATACATGCAATGTTGGACAATGTTAGTGGCTGCTATCATGAACTAAAGGTTGCCGAGAAAATTTCAAAAAGGGATGTAAAAATCACAAATGTCTTCGGAAAAAAAATCATAATGTACTTGCGGAAGACTATTTTCCTCAATTTCTAAAAAGGAGTGACTCTGTTGATTACTTCTATGGCGGAATTTACCAAAAACTCCCCTTTTGTAGAAAATAATAATAAAAATAATAAACAAGCTAACATTACCAAAATTTCTAATAATTACGTCTTGCACTTGACAGTTCACATTTTTATGAAATACTTCCTTTGAAACTGAAAAAGTGAAAATGTCGATGCTCACGATGTCCAAGGTAACAGAAACACTTACTCGAGTTTGACTTTACTTGATGGTGAAGTGGTTAAGTTGCCAACAGATAGCATTCTTCACGAGGGAGGTTGTTGAAAAGTTTTTGCTCTGGTGCATGATCGACTCGGATGATAGTTAGAAGTGCTCAAACACTTTTGTAAATAAACTCTTTATTGACTAAAAGAATATTTATTCCAGATCATTACTTGTGCTCTTGTTTTATAATTCCTCCGGTTAAAAAGTGCTGTCAATTGTACATTAAATAGTTAGACTACTTGTAACATTTAAAGGGTTCTTTAAGAATTTATTTAAGATCTTTTTTGGCTTTCGGTATCGTGCGGAAAAACGCTTTCTATTTTCGAGTGCCCCAGAATACCCTCTGTTCCCCCCCCCCGTCCCCCAAAAAAGACCTTTTTGCATAAACTATTATTTGCAAATGCTCCTGGCAAAAGAGCAAAATTTGGGGGCGGGGGGAAGAGGTCGGTGTATTAATTTCGATCTCGTTTTCAGCTTTGACCTTGTGCGTCATCAGTCAAGTGACGAAAGCTCACACGTGGCAGTCACACTTGTCCAACACCCTCTAACGAGAGTCGGGTGATGGTCGTGTATAGACACAAAATTTCCGACTGAGTTCTCCAACAACAACAACAACAAATTTTATTGAAAATTTTAACTAGATTACAAAATAAACCGAGGAAGCCAAACATATTACAAAACAAGATTTGTTTGATCTATTCAATGACACTAAAAGTTCTTTTAACTCTTTGCCAAAGTTTCATTGTTCAAAGCAAAAGTTTTTTAAGCCAGTTATTTTTAGCGTTATTTTAACAGATTTTTTTTTGCCTGTTGTTCCGATATGTGATTTTGGAACGTTGTTTTCTGCAAACTCGGGAAACAATTGTTTCCTTTAAGCTAATCTGGGAAAAAAATTGATATTGAATGGGAACAAAATAGCTGAAGGGAGTAGTTCCCTATTTTTACTTGCAAGCGGAACGAATTGTTCCTTAATCAGTAGCTTTGCAACACAATGTTCGGTGTTATTCTTGTTTCAGTTGGTTCTTTTCTTTGAGTTACTCTTGTTCGTACTGATATGTTTCTTCTCCTTATTTTTCGTCTTCTTACCCTTCTCGATATGGTCTCGTGTTGATGTACATTTACATTCACCATATTACAAGCATTTCCTCTGTACAAGGCTTATATGCTCGGATTCGGTCAGGTTCGTAAAGGTTCTTAATGTTTCAGCTCATAGACCCCACTCTTAAAACCATTAAGACTTAGGGCTAAAGGATTTGGCGTGACTATTTCTAAAGTGTCTCGTAAGCGTTATAAGTTCTTTAGAAAGATCAGCTTAGAAAAACCTATATAACCTTATAACCTAAACCTAGGTTATTTACAATTTTGTATAACATAATTAATCTTTGGTTTGCTCTTCGCTGCTTGAGTGACACTTGCTTTGCGTCTGTAGTTGTTACAAACAAAGCGGGCAGCTCTTCATTGTACCATCTCAATTTTATTTTGGTTGTCTTGGGTGAAAGGATCCCATATAGTGGACGCATACTCGATTTGTGGTCGAACAAGAGTCTTGTATGCATTAGCTTTGATGTGTTTCTGGTAAATTTGTAGGTTTCGTCGGAGAAAACCTATGCCTTGGATGAATTAGCTTTCTTAACTATAGAGCATATATGTTCGTTCCATGACAGCTTATGGTGTACAGTGACGCCAAGATATTAAACTACATCTTTTTCCATAAGGATCTGGTTGTGTAGGATGTTGTGTTGATGTTGTTCAGCTTGTCGCTTCGCTTCATTTTCTACTCCTCCTCAGCCTAGTCCCTACGGGTTCTCGGCTCGGTCAATCCTGGACTCTACCGTGAGCTGTGACCTCACCGAGAGAGACTCGCTCTCGCCCGCTTTTTTCCAGACTTTGCGCGGACAAAGGGTCAAGAGGGAACGCCTTAACCTTAAACGTGATACCCGCGCAATTTCTCGCGCATGCGAGACGTTTGACCGCGATGTGGGGAACGCCTAGGGACTAGGCTGACCCTTCTTCATTTTCCCTATTCTTTTCGTTCTCTTACTCCTCTTCATTCTCCCTTCGTCCTTTTCCCACCATCGTCATCTCAGTCGTCTCATTCTCCTTCTCCTTCTTTAACCTGTTGTTTTCCTCTTCATCCTCCACTCCTACCTCATCCTCCTCCTTCCGCCACAACCTTCTGCATCTTCTCCTTCTTGTACTGTTCTTTCTCGTCCTTCTCCACCACTATCACCACCATCTCCATGTCCTCCTCTTCCTTTTCATCCTTTTCTCATACCTCTTCCAGCGCCACAACAAAAAACTCTCTCTTTCTACCTCGTCGTCGTCCTCTTTATCCTTCTCCTCCACCATTTCTGACTCCTCCATCTCCTTTTACTCTTGCTTCTCTTCTTACGCTACCACCACCATCTCCATCTCTCACTTCTTCTCCTTCTCCATCTCGATGTCTTCTAACGTAACTCTAACCCTAACACTAACCCTAACCCTAACCCTAACCATAAACCTAACCCTACAAACCCTAACCCCAACCCTGACCCTACCCCTATTCCAACCCCTATCCCTACCCCTAACCCTACCCCTACTCCTAACCCTAATCCTGACCCTAACCCTAACCCTAACCCTGACCCTAACCCTAACCCTAACCCTAACCCTAACCCTAACCTACCCTACCCCTACTCCATCTTCTCCATCTCTTCCTTCTACTCTTGGTTCTTCTTCCTCTTCTTTTTCTACTTCATTAGTCACCTTTAATGGCAGAAGGCCCAACTCTTCACGCAAGTCTCCAATTGTAGCATCGTCACTGATTACATCTTTCAATAAAGCTCCATCTTTTAACAGTTCAGTGCTTTTATCCACACATTGAAGTTCATTCAGGATTTTTAGCTTTTTAAATAGCTTACATTCGGGGAACTTTATAGTGCAGACAACTTCAGAGTCTTGGGAACACCACCGGTATTTTTTTAGTCCCATTAGCAACCCTTTCTCTTCCATTTTCGTGAAGTCCACGCATAACCCTGGCACAAGCAGCTCCGGATGCGATTGATGATAGGGTACTATCATAACGCCAACTTTTACGTCAAGGTCGTTTGATAAATGCTTTGCCAAAAGCTCGCGGTACACTAAACATTGATAAAGAGGAACACTAAAGTTTGTAGCTTTATCCCACCAAGTTCTTAAATATGAAACATCTGTTTTACCGGTGCTCTTCCAGTCAACGACCAAAACTTCAGGTTTAGGCCCAGTTACACGAATAGCGACTGCATCCATTTTTCCACTGTAGAACCTTGCGATTGATTTTTGTACACTCCAGCCCCAAATATCGACTTCTGCTGTAAGAAATTCGCAGTCGAATTGGCTCTCTAATTCTTTTAACACCTTCCCTTTCAGTCCTTCTCGAGAGCCGCTTTTTATGAGATCTTCAAATTCTAGATGTTCTTCTCTACCTTTGCCTTGTGGATTGTTATTGCCCGACTCATTCTCTGTTCTCTCTCTTCTTTTTTCCATAATGTTTATTTCTTTGGGGTTAAATGAGTTTTTCACTGCATCTTTCTTGGTCTTGTCCCCACCAAACTGAATGCAAAAAAGATGAATTTTGATTGTGAATGTAGCTGAATATAAAAGACAAAATGACTGCTCACTGCCTTTAGACCTACAATCTGCGACAAAATTGTTGAGGCATTGTACTGAAATAGGGTAACTTCGGAGAACAAAACAATCCACACCCTCCCCTTCCCCTCCATTCAAAGCTGTGGTGTTGGGTGTTTTCTATAGGTAGCTCGAACGCGTCACAACATTCCATGGAGGGGATGAGGGAGGGAAAGCTTTATTTTTTCCCATTTTTAAGTCGGTAAAACGTGTCTCTCGCCGATTGTAGAGTGAGACAATGTGCTCTATTAAGAGAAGGACTACAACATCCTGATTCAATTTTTTATTATTATTCACACTTTATAAAATATTAACATTATATATAGTAAGGTAAGAATACACTAATAAAGTAGAAAAAGAAGGGAAAAAAAAGAAAATTAATGGCTTGGGTAGAAGTGTACGGTGGTCAGGGGAGCTTAGCTTTTGAGCTAACCACCGCAAACAAACAAGAAGCCAGAGAAGTCTAGAGAAAAGAACTATAAATTGTCCTTTTTACATTGTGCGAGTTATGCCGGTATGTGTCGAGCCAAAGGGAAAGTTTTTGGGGCCATTTTGTCTAAAAATAACCTTTGTGCACTGAACTAGGGTATAGCTTAGTCTTGAATAAGGTATATGGACGTGAATGAATGACACTTTATTTCAATGGGTGCACAATTATAATAACACTGTAGTCTGACTAGTCTCCCCTATGGCCCTTAAAACGGGCAACCAGGGAAAGTGACAGGGAAGTGGACTCTGAGCTACACTTTCACACCCCATTATGTGGGATGGCCCTCAAGAGAAATGGTTCAGAATTGCTCACACCAAGGTGGTACCGGCAACATTGTTGCAAAACGAGTTGAATAGTGATGTTGGGCGTCGTAGCACCCACAAATCAAACGTTCCTTGCACCAAAACAGGCTGATTTGTTTCAAGACAGGTTTGAACGCGGTTTCCCGTTTTCCCAAGCTAAAAGCGTGGCTAGGTTATGTCATGCCTGTTTCCTTCCTCCTTACTGTTGAATTATGGGTCCTCCTTACTGTTGAATTATGGTTCATGATACAAACAACAAAGACGGAAAGAATTGGAATCCTGGTAGGACCCTGTAGTCTTTTTTGAAAACCTAGATTCCTGAACTTCTTGCTCCCAGATGAATTCAAAACAAAACTAAGACATAACGGAGGCATGGAGAAGGTCTAGGAAGTAGTCCATTTATATATTGACAATTATAAAAGTAAAGGATTTTTTTATGACTAATTTTCTTGATATTTTTTTCCCCAACTTGATTATGAATAGCAATACTTTAATAGTGGACCAGTATCTAGTGACAGACCCTTGCGTTTGCTAAAGAATAATAATAATAATAATAATAACTTTAATAGTAACATCCTCGTGAGGTTTTTCAGGAACTATTTACAAACTATTTACAATTTATAAAAGCAAAAATGACAATAAAAAACTCGAAATCACAATTTATGATGGTATTCTACTAAATTCTAGAGCTTATAAAGGAAATGTCTGCCTCAATAGTGTGTCTTTCAGGGCGCGCTTGAAAGATGCCAATGAGGCACTTTGCCTAAGTTCATTATGCAAGTTATTCCAAGTGTAGGCCCCTCCGTAGGAAAATGTGCGCTGGCCTATAGCCGTTCTGTATAGCGGAATCTGCAAAGAGTTCCGTGTACGAGTGTTACGAGTATGTATATTTGAGAGCTTGGTAAGCTTGCTCGTTAAATATTGAGGCGCAAGATCGTTCTGACATTTAAAGGTCAAAACGGAGTCTCTATAGAATAATTGTTCTTTAACAGGAAGCCAGTTTAGCTCCAGAAGCAAAGATGTTACGTGGTCAAACTTCCTAGAGTTTGTTACGATCTTGCTGGCAAAATTCTGAATAGATTGTAATCTGTTTATATTCTGGAGTGTAGTATTAGACCATACAGATGAGCAGTAAAGCATCTTGCTAAAGACTAATGATGTTATTAACAATTCTAGTGTTTCCTTGTCGAAGCTCCTTTTGACTCTATTTATTTGGCAAAGCTTTGCGAAACAAGATGACACTACACATGAAATATGGTGATCGTAGGTCAGATGGGGGTCAAGAAAGACTCCCAAGTCCTTGGCAGAGTCTGTTGGCTTCAGTGTTTTACTTAAGAATACCACTCTAGGGTCTTCTGGTAACCTGCTTAACATCTGTCTGGTACCGAGGAAAAGGAGTTTAGTTTTATCGGGATTGATAAGTAGATGGTTCTCACAGCACCATTGAGCTACACTGTGAAGGTCTTGTTCGAGCTTTTCAATGGCAGCATCAAGATCAACGAGAGGAAATGACATGAATAGCTTTGAGTCATCCACATACGATTCTAGGTTGCAAAACGTCGGTGCCGTGGGTAATCATTGAGATAAATGCAGAACAACAATGGTGATAGGATTGCGCCTTGAGGAACTCCGTCAGTTATAGGTAGAGTGTCAGAGTAGGCGGAGCCTATTCTCACGTATTGCCTGCGACCAGTTAAATAGCTCTTAAACCATTTGACAGTAAAGGATGAGGCTCCTAAGATGGAGAGTTTGTGGAGCAACCTTGCATGGTCTATACTGTCGAAGGCTTTGGATAGATCTAATATTACTAGTGCTGTTATCTGCTTTTTATCCATTGCTTCGAGTATCTTATCCGTGAGCAGGATGTTTAAGGTCTCTGTAGAATGAGCTTTTTTATTGCCGCTTTGGTGTGAGGTAAGGCGGTTGTTTTTTGTGAGATAGGCGCTGAACTGATTCAAAACAATCCTTTCGAGGAACTTTGAAGCTACGGCTAGCAGAGATAACAGTCTGTTGTTGGCAGCTTTTTCATGGTCACCGTCTTTAAGAATCGGAATCACTTCAGCCTCTTTCCAGTTGTCAGGAAATGTGCTAGTAAGGATAGAACAATTGATGATGTCCGTAAGAGGGCCCAATATGACAGGGAGACAGTCTTTTAGTACACGAGCGCTGATCTTGTCCGGTCCCGGAGATTTATTCATTGGGAGAGATGTTACAATTCGGCGAACCTCTTCACGTGACACTGTCCTTAAATTGAATAATTCCATAGAGGAAGTATCTATGCCAGTTTCGGATGAAAAATCTCGGACTATGATGTTATGTTCTTCCCTCAGGCTCTGTACTGCGTCAGCGGCATTTAAGCAAAAAACTGTTTGAATTCGTTGGTTAAGACTGTCACATCCTTTGTAAAGGCTGGTCTCTGCTTATCTTTGGAGGGGATGGCACCATTAATAATTTTCCAGAGTGAGCCAGAGTTGTTTTTATTAGCTGTGACCTCTTCAAAGGTGTGATCTCTTTCAGCTTTTTGTAGCTTTTTCTTGACCAAGTCACGGGAATGTTTGAAATTTATCCGCTCGGTGTCTTGGCGAGACTGTATGAATTGCTTAAAGCTGTGTTGTATGAATATAGAGTGCACCTTATTCAAGGATAAACCGATTTTCATATGACCTTGAAAAGAAAACACGCAAAGAAAACAGAAACAACGAACGAACGGAAATAGACCGATTTGGTTTATCGAGCGGATACAAACGCGCGTTGCCTTTGGTTGATTAAGCGAACGCTCGGGTGAAAAAACTTCATGCCCTACAAGACCTAGAACTTTCTAGAAATCAACCGATACTTCGCTTTGACGTCATACTGCAACACGATTTGCCAATCGAACAATGCCTTCTCCATATTAGGGTTTCCTTTGGTGGGAAAACGAAGAGGCTATGTTTTGATCTTTTGTCAAATAACGAACACTTACCGAAACCATTATTCAAGGTCATACGAAAATCGCTCTATAACTTTATTTGTGTCATGACATCAGTCTTTACTCAAAGTCTTCAAGAATCGAAATATCCAATGAATTGGAGCGATCCATCCCGTTATTCCATTGTGGATATTGTGGAACATTCGTCTAGCCCATTACACTATCGACCATCAACTGAATTTTAATCTGTCATTGGTTGTTTATTAGTTATACATTTCGCTCTCTGTAAAGGTGAACGCACATATAGGATGACATGCTCCATATATTATCAGCGCACAGCTCGTTCTGTATACGAGAAGTCTTTTGCCAGCTAACTTTCAACGAGAACTCACCTGTTTTAAAAGCCAATTCGGTCACTTCTTAGTGAAAAATGTAAAAATTTAGATAGTACAAATTTGTTATATTCCAAATTATTGTGAATTTAGCATAATTGTAGCTAAACTCAGCGAAAAGACATGGAACACAGAGATCCGTGCTGGCGGTTTTGAAAATGAGCTCGCCGACAGTTTGCCCCGCGATCCTTTGCGGACTGCTCTCCAACCTCCTCGCACGCATGACTCTGAGAATTACTTTTATCTTAATATCCCGTAGCAGTTGCTAAGGACTAATTTTCTACCCCCTTCTCTGCTTCTGTTGACTTCTCTTTCAGTTTGTACAACACGTACTCAATCCTTTGTATAATGGTTTTCTCGTCATTTAAAACTTCCATAATATTAAGTATCACTTGTCTTCTTGTAGATCTTGTGTTCGGTGAATTTGCGTTTTTATGGGAGAAGGCAGAAGGCGAACAGACTCCAGGCAACCGTCTCTCTACGGTTGACAATCTAGTAACAAACTATTATTTATTACAATCCATTTTGAAATCACTGGTGATTTCAAAATCATCTAATTGGTAGCAGTGATATACTCACAAAATGTTTTTGGTTCCAAATCACACCTGCTTCTAAATTAAATTTTGTTCTAAATCCCATCATTTTTCCTGTTTTGCATGTACAATGAGACTGTATAATTAACCAAAGCGTTTCTGGTTCCTCTTTCCCACAAACCGGTTACATTAAAATATTAGTATTGATAATTGCGTTCGACGTTAGGAGAACGCTTCGTAATCTTTGGGGATCCTGTGGTCGATGGGATACCTGTGCATGCCAGGCGTGAAGATTCGAGATTTTTG